TTATGCAGCTTTTAGCTTTTAAATTTAGCTTGAGGTTTTTTTTTTTATGCATTTGTTAACTAACAATGAAGACAGTGAAGAGGAATACCATTCAAGAATTCACTGTTTTGAACTTTCCTGCTAATGCAAAAGATAATAAAACTCCAATATATTTTTCCTGTCAAAATTTATAACCAAGGATGTGCAAAGTGGCAGCAATAAAATATAACAAAACTAAATCAGTTTTTCTTTAATAAAGTAAATAAAAAAGTCAATCTACATTTAAATGTTAAATTTAAACAGTGCAGTCTGTGCTCTGTGCAGTCTGCTGTCTGTCTATGCTTTGCTGCAACTAATTCTACAATCACAGGTCTTTATTGAAAGGGAGGAAAGTCAGCATCTCTCCGTGCTCCTGTGAGAGTCTCACTCTTCTCTGAGAGCAGATATTCCCTGCTGCAAGGATGCGCTCTGATGGAGCAGATGGGGAAAGTGACGAATGTTTGTGGCAAACTTCTCTGTGTTCACAACTATCGCCGCGTCTCAAACCACACACTTCTGTACTTCACACACTACACTAATGAGCGCACTTCTAATGGTATATGCCCTATTTTTACACACTATTTCTGCTAGAAGGTCTTTTCAGACGGGCAAACTGGAATCAAATTAAGTAGAGCTATCGTAATGATAATTTAATCCTTACACATAGTTACATTACTGACACGGCAAGGTTTTAGAGGGGCATTCAAACCTAAAACTAATTTTAATATGTGGTATATTATCTAGTATTCTTTTAGCATTGTATCCCTCAGCCTCATTGCTTTCACATAATTCATTAATATTTTTTAATGTTTTTGTTCATCAGTCTCACTATGGGACTCAGCATGCCTTGTGCAAATACGTCATAAAACCACTGGGAATCCCTGTGGTGTCAACCAATCCTGACTGCTAGATTGTTAAAAAAAATACAGATTCTATTTTTATCAACATAAAATGTACACAAGACAAGTTTTTTACACTTTCAGCCAAAGAAAAGGAGCAGAGCCGAGGCCAGGTATCCAGATACCAAGGTAGCCACCTTGCTACCTTTCAGCTTGTCATCCTTGTCAACTGATGAGCCATTTGAGTAAACAATTTTTTCCCACTGAGCACGTTTACATGCACTCAATAATCCGATCATAACCGGATTTCTGCAGTTATCTTAGGGAAATGGTCATGTAAAAGGCATACTCCGATCTAGAAATCCGATAAAGAGAGCTTGATTTTAGCTCAGTAATCTGATTTCTCAGGGCATGTAAACTCACTCTGATTTCTTTCAGATTTCTCAGTCTACGTTTGTGCAGAAACAGACTGGAAATAAGCAACCAGTGTTGCCGAGAGATGGCAGCAAAACACTTTTAGAGTGGCGCTGAAACCAAATACATGCTTGACAAAATGATGATGTCTCGATGATGATCATTTCTAGATGATGATTCAGATGATTAGGAGCCGCGACACGAAGTTTGAGTTTCATATTATGTTTACGTCACGTCTTCTTCTGTGAGTTTATTGGCCGGTTGCAAAGCAGAAATCTGATTGCTGCCTGACTCATGTAGACCTGGAGTTTTCACATTATTTAATTATTCAAGTGCATGTAAACACGTTTATCGTATTATTGACAAATTCTGCTTTCTTTTTTTTTCAGTTATCGGAATATTAAGTGCACGTAAATGCACTCACTATAATGATGATTTGAAGACAGTTACTACAGTTATACAGCTGCAGTAACATATTCATTTTCCTTACAGGAATATTGGCGCTCTGCTTTCCTTCTGCGTTCAACAGTTAATGAAAAACAGCACGGCCCCTAAAAATTGATCCCAAAATAGCTGTAGTTTTTCAAGTTCCTCCCACCATCAAGATACATCAGCCAAGGTGTCCTTTTAAGTAACTCCACTTGCACATTGTACAGTGCTACAAAGTGCTCACCTGCTGTCCACCAGCAGCCCAAAATGCATGGGCACGTCACATGTACTAGTTTTAGAGTTACAGATCACATAATTAGTGTGTATTTAGTGTATTTTCTCATGCCCACTGAAACAAATTACTGGCTATTTCCAGTGGTGGTCATCCTCAGTATTCTGTTGCCCCATCCTGGACATGTCCTTGTCTGGGACTGCTTTCGTACTGCTCTCTTGCTGTAGGACTTCTGAAGAGCGAGGTTTATGCCCGTTTCTGTTTCATGCGCAATTGATCTGAAGTATCACCCGGTCTGATCATGTTCTAATAGGATAACTGCTGGAATCCTCATGCTGTCATGTAGAGTGAAATGGCTGAAATTGTATTTGATCATGGCAGTCCGACCCCACTGAGAGATTTTGCATTTTGATGTGGGTACTAATGATACGTGCTCGGCTTGGATCACGCTGTAAGAAATAGGCCTTTACTGGCCATTGAAGAGTCTGGCAAGCTGTGCCGTGAGACACACAAGTCAGCGCGCTGGCCTCCAAAGACCACGCTTTAAAATTCACTGATGCAAGTGGCAGGACACCATCTGTTTGTGTGTTTTGTTGGTGTGTGTGTGTGTGTGTGTGTGTGTGTGTGTGTGTGTGTGTGAGTGTGTTCGCTTTGATGGGAATGAAAACTCTGATGGGACGAAAAAATGACTGTTGATTCGTTCCCCTTCCTCATGAATAATTCGATAGGCTGGGCACGGAGGACAAATCAAGCTTGATTGCCATGAGCAATTTCAGAGTAACTGTCACTCATTCCTCTTTGCACATTATGTTCCTTTTGTCTCTCGGCCTGTCTCTCGGCCTGTCTCTCGGCCTGTCTCTCGGCCTGTCTCTCGATTCCGCAGTCCAGTTCAATTATTTACACTTCCACTTAGAAGTCTGGAATGACTTGTTGAGTGCCCATGCTAACCTCTGTCCACTGTTGAAAGTGCATACAGTGGGCATGTAAGCATTGAAACTGGACCTTGGAGCAATGGCAGAGGTTGCCTGGTCCAGTGAGTCCTATTTTATTTTACATCACGTGGACGGCCGTGTACATGTACGTTCTTTACCTGAGAAAGGGTGCACTGTGGGAAGGAAGATGATGTTCTGCTTGGAAACCCTGGATCTGGGCATCCGTGTGGACGTCAATTTGACATGTGCCACCTACACAATGAGTTCTGTATAGAATTATTTCATGCTTGAAGTATTCTTTGCATGGTGAAATGGTTCTTCAGAATGTTAGAGAATGTGTTGTATATGGTACTAATGTAGAATTCTTTTGAAAATAGTTCTATACAGCACCAAATAGGTTCTTCTGTTACAATGTGAAGCTTGTAACAATAGGAAAAACCCTTTTTGGTGCTATATAGAACCGTTATTAATAGGGCTATGAAGACTCATGCACATTCTCCATCAATCTGAAGAACCATTCCATTTACTGAAGAACCATTCCCTTTACTGAAGAACCATTCCCTTTACTGAAGAACCCTTGAAAAGCCATCTCTTTTAAAAGTGTGCCTAAATATTGTTGTGGACCCTTCTTGGCAATAGTATTCCCCGATGGCAGTGGTCTCAGTATTCCTCGATTTTGGTGCCATGTGAAAGACCAACAGCCTATTATGCAGGTGGTCGTAATGTTTTGGCTCGTTGGTTTAAACCAATCATTTATTCACATTTTAAAATATTTTGTGAACAACATGTTATTACATAGTAAAAAAAATAGCAAATGTTAAGTTATCCTACTGTTCAACATCGGTGGCTAGAATGCTGTTCATTGCGTTTATTTCAGAGAATAAATGAGAGCTTTTACAATAGCAGTTTGTCTAAGCTGAAAGAAACTTAAAACTGTGCTGGTTGTTAAGACCGTAACATTACAGCCAAGCTTGCACCAAAATAATGTGTTTCTTGACGGGCTTAAAAAATGTGGTCATGTAAAATATCACCCCCTTTCATTGACCAGAGTTCACCAAAAAAAAACCAACTTTCAGTTTTTAAGACAAATATCGTTATGAAGACGCTGTGTCCTGTGCTCTCCTGCACTGCTCATCACTGACACATTCACACTGGCTCAGCAACCTACTCAGGGTTACCAGATTGGGCAGGATCCCCTAGAACAGAATTTTTATGTTACTATGACAACAATTGTTTACCAGTAATGTTTTGCCATTACCTTATAGTATTCACTGCAAAAAATGGTATCCTGTCAAGTAAATTGATCTTAAATTTAGTCGTTATATCTACTGTTTCCCATTCTGAGATGGTTGTGCACTTATTGAAAGTTTATCTAGCTTATTTTAAGACTTTTTTTTTTTTTTACCTGTTTTATATCATTTTATTAAGGAAAATTATCCCACTATACTGGCAGATAATTTTGCTAATTTCAAGCACATTTCTTAAAACAAGCAAAATTATCTGACAATGTAGTGAGAGAATTTTACTTAATAAAATTAACTGAAATATAAAACATGTCTACAAAGAAAATAATCTTAAAATAAGCTTACAACAATCTCAGGAAAAATTAGCTTAACAATAACATTTTTTGCAGTGTTCAGAGTCGAGTTTCAATAATCTTCATCGTCATTAAAATAAACCTCATATCTTGGGCTTTCCTTAGTCTTATTGAGTATCTGAAAATCAAAATATTGAAAAGTCGCCACCGTAATTATGTCACAATGACAAGCAGTCATTAACCTAGAATACTTAAAGCACTGTGGAAATCAGCAGTGGGCCTCATTCACCAATATCTTCCTAAATTTTTTTCTTAAATTTGTTTTTGAGAAAGATGCTGGGTAAAAGTCTACATCAGATTCATGACGTGTTCTTAAACCACAGAATTGTTTGCACCTTTGTGCTCTTGAGTGTGCGTAAGTTCTGTTCTTACCTAAGAACAAATCACAAATAAGAAAACATTGTTGAACGTCAGAATCTTCATAAAAAATGCATAAATGGGTTTTAAGAAGAGGGGTGGTGAATGAGGCCCAATGTTACTAATGTGTCACTGATATTGCTTTTTGTTTTAATCCCCTCTCTCTCTACTTGTCTCTGCAGGGACTTTCTCCCTCGTGGTTCAGGCATTGTCACTCGGAGGCCTCTCATTCTGCAGCTAGTCAACAATAAAGCAGGTAAGGCTGGCCTGTTTTGGGCCTTCAGAAACACACATCTTTAATCTCGCATACTTTTAACTAAGTCCTAACTGTCTCTGTGTTTTTGTGTGTAGAGTATGCAGAGTTTTTGCACTGTAAGGGGAAGAAGTTTGTGGACTTTGATGAGGTTCGGCAGGAGATCGAAGCAGAGACGGACAGAATTACGGGCTCTAATAAGGGCATCTCCCCCATTCCCATCAACCTGAGAGTCTACTCCCCTAATGGTAACAATACTCACTCTATCCTGTACTCATATCTCCAAGGGCCTGCTGTGTTCACAGTATTAATCACAAGAGCAGTTCTATAAAAGGTCACCCTCTCTTACACTTTTTTTTTTTCCCTCTTTTCTTTTTCTTTCCTCTCTCTCTCGCTCTCTGGCAGTGTTGAATCTGACTCTCATCGACTTGCCGGGGATGACCAAGGTTGCTGTGGGTGACCAGCCCCCGGACATTGAGCACCAGATTAGAGACATGCTTCTGCAGTTCATCACCAAGGATAGCTGCCTCATCCTGGCCGTCACACCGGCCAACACTGACCTGGCAAACTCAGATGCTCTGAAGATCGCCAAAGAGGTGGACCCACAGGGTAGGGGTCAATCTTCCTCTGGGGACTCAAAGTGCAGGCTAAAACATATACACAGTCATTCAGCGTGTTTTGATGTGGAATATTGTGTTCTAGAGGAACTTACCAAGTCCTGAATTTTCACACTGATGGTTACAGAAACGTCTTAAGTCTAAAATCTTAGCTGTTTAGTCACCATAACAGCTTCAGTTAGCACTGAATTTAGGACAGAAGCTGTTACAGAACAACAGTTCTTAAGTTCATAATCTTTTCCATTAACTCCAAAACAATATTACAGAAACATCCTAACTAGACTAAACCTCCTAAGTACTATCCTAACTTTAAGACACACCCAGAGCTGTCTTAACTTCTGTTTTAACCATCTGTTTCTATTGTTTTGTGCAGCACAATTCACTATAACTGGCATAATGACGTTACATTTATCTGCTGAGCTTTGACTTGGGAGGTTTTTTCCTAACAGCGTTTTAAAACCCAAGACACTGCAGTCTTGATCTCCACCGTCCCCTCTTATTACCTTTGTGTGTTAATGTTGATGATAAAATATTACATGATGTCGGTGAATAATGAGGAGACAGAGCTGAGTGTGTGTCTGTTTATTAGAAGGAATGACGTTAGCGCGCTCAGCTAAAATGAAAGTGAAACTGGGGAGCGGATATGCTCTGATAAACAGCACGAAGCACTGACACAATATTCTTAACATTCAGTTTATCGCGCTTTAGTTTAGACCTCTTTTGTACATCAGTAATGATAGTTAGCTGCCTGGCTAACTAGCTTGATTACTTTGATGTGTTTACGTTTCAGGTGTGCATGTATGGTTGGTTGCTAGGTAACAGACATGACAGTTGATTGTTGACTTTGATCGAGCGAGTTAAGATTTCTTAACTTGAGATGAGATGCTGTAAAATAAGATAAGATTCCTAATTCCATATTTGCCTTTTTTAATACGAATTTTTTGAAAAAACATATCTTAACCTGTCAGATCTTAAGACAAAAGTGAAGTTTCTGTAAGACGGGACCAGGTTTCTGAAGAGTTTATTGTCTTTAGAAGCTACATCACATCATGTTAATACATGAGATAGTTCTGAATAGTTTGATGTCTGAGAATTGTTTTATGATAATTTTGTGGTAAAGTTTTGGCAAAGCAAAATGTGAGTAATCTCAGATTCCACTGGTGAACATGTATTCACAGAGTTTAGCAGATGAAGGCAGTCGTATATTTAATCATATCAAATTTTCACTGATGTGGGTGATTGTCTGTCTTGTGCAGGACTGCGCACGATCGGTGTGATCACTAAGCTGGACCTGATGGATGAGGGAACAGATGCCCGAGACATCCTGGAGAACAAGCTCTTACCGCTGCGCAGAGGTGGGGCGAGTGTCCTCGTGTGTACAAAGTCATCACTCACAAAAATTAACATGCATACACAGACATCTACACAAAACACAAACAGATGCGTAGAGCAGTTGGTGTGTAAGACTCTCAGGCTCCTGCTTTTGTGTAGCGCGCTAACTCAGCCTCTCTCTAGGCTACATTGGGGTGGTGAACCGCAGTCAGAAGGATATTGATGGCCGGAAGGATATCCGTGTGGCTCTGGCCGCAGAGAGGAAGTTCTTCTTGTCCCATCCTGCTTACAGACACATGGCTGAGCGAATGGGAACACCTCATCTGCAGAAAACTCTCAACCAGGTCTGCCCTCATGCTGACCATTTGATCTCACCTGTTAACCACTTTTATTTCTTCAAAACTCCCTGCTATTCTAATAGGATCTATAAAAACCCTGTCCAATTTATTAAGTCGATTCCTTTTAACATTAATAGTTAAAGACTGTTTTGTTTGTTTTTCTTTTGTTCTTTTTCTTTCTTTCTTTCTTTCTCTTTTTTTTTTTTTCTTTTGAATTTTTTTTGGTCCTTTTTTCTCTTTTGTCCTTCCTTCCCTTCATTCTTTCTTTTTTTTTTGTTCACTTATCCTTTCTTTTGTTCCATATTTCTTTTTTTTCTGCCTTTTTTACTTCTTTTTTCCTGTCTTTCTTTGTTTTCTTTTTTCCCTTCTTTCTGTTGTCCTTCCTCTTTGTTTTTTTTCTTTCTTTCTTTCATCCTATCTTTTTCTTTCTTTTCCCTCTTTTCTTTCAATTTCTCTCTGTTCTTTGTCTTTCATCTATTTCTTTCTTTCTTTCTTACTCCTTTTTTTTTTCATTTTTTCTTACTCTTCTCTTTCTTTTTCTTTCTTTTTTTCTTTCCATCCCCGTCTCATCTCTCTCTCTCTCTCTCTCTCTCTCTCTCTCTCTCTCTCTCTCTCTCTCTCTCTCTCTCTCTTTCTCTGTCTCTCTCTCTCTCTCTGTCTGTCTCTGTCTATCTGGCAGCAACTGACTAACCATATTCGGGACACGTTGCCGGGTTTGCGTAGTAAGCTGCAGTCTCAGCTGCTGTCTCTGGAGAAGGAAGTGGAGGAGTACAAAAACTTCCGTCCGGATGACCCCACGCGCAAGACCAAGGCCCTGCTGCAGTGAGTGCTGCCCATCCCCTCTCACACGCTGCTTCCGTACACACGCATCTGCTGAAATCTGAAAGCCCTGCTGCACCTCCCGCAGTGCAGCACAGCAGCCAGTGCTACGACTTACAAATGGAATATATTTAAATAGAATATATTGTGATAAATGTTTAGTGTGTCAAATTTTGATATGCCACATTATAGTAGTTGTTGGTGTCTGGTATCTGAAGCTGGTCATATTGACATATTTCTTGGACTGATGCTGGGTTTGAAGGGGGCTGCTTGGTTAGAATTTGTCTTAGTGTCTTCTGTGTACATGCAGACATGTATATGTATTATTATAGAAATAAATGTGAATGGGGTTGTGAATGCTTCTGTGATGCTCCCACTTGGCAGGATGGTGCAGCAGTTTGGGGTGGACTTTGAGAAGTGTATTGAGGGCTCAGGAGATCAGGTGGACACTGTGGAGCTGTCTGGCGGTGCTAGGATCAACCGCATCTTCCACGAGCGATTCCCCTTCGAGCTGGTCAAGGTAAACAGCGAGTTCTGTTCAACGTCCAATACTGTTTGGATGAGATTACTTCCTGGACAACAGTACTTCTCAGAACCAATGTTACAGGATGTCTGTAATGTTAATGACCAGGTTGCGCAGCATAACACTTTTTTTGTTGTTAAACCCAATTTTCTCCCTAGTCTTGTCCAAACTCCACCCGCTAGTTAGGACTCTCACAATCACACGATACTACCAGCGCTAGGAGGGTGAAGGCTAACACAGGCTTCTTCCGAGACCTGTGAAGCCAGCCACCGCATCTTTTCAAACTGCCGCTCGTGCAACACGCATTGGACAGCTGAACGCGCTCGGAGGAAAGTTGAGTGATGGGGGGAGAAGGGGGGGCCATCCTGCCCACCTAGAGAGAGCGAGGCCAATTGTGCTCTCTTGGACTCCTGGCTATGGATGGCTGTAGCATCACCAGGGATCGAACTTGCGATCTCCTGATGATAGGGCCAACGCTATGGTTGCGCCACTCTGGAGCCCCCGCATAAAATATTTTGGTGTAAATTGCAGAAATGGTAGGGATGTACGCATGACCCATCAAAAAGGTAAAGAAAGCTAGCTCGTGTCCATGTAACCTGGGCTTGAGAATCAGTAGAGCTACCTAAAGCTGCTGAAAGCATTGGACCTTTGACAGATATCATTGAATGCCTTCCGGATTTTAGGCCAGTGCTTATCAACTTGATTTAGGCCTCAAACATGCTTCATTGAGCTTGAAAGACATAAAGGCTCTGAGGTTATTTCTACAGTTCATTTTACAGTAGGTAAAAACTGCTGTAATATTTACTCATACAGGATCATGCAGTCTGTAACAGGTTACTCAAAAGACTACGGCTGGCCCAAATAATTTGACCATTTATGTTCCTGTTTGTTTCGTTGGTATTTCTGTTTAATATTTGAAAGCTTTTTTTAAACCCCAACAAATTGTAGCTTAAATTCCAATAAATTCCATCAGTACAGGCCTGACGGAGCAGTTATCATTAATGAATGGAAATTTGTAACACATACGTCTAAGCAGCCACTGCGGACTGAAACATTAATTAAAATGGAGGCAGATCTGCTCCCTCATATGGACAATTAAAACAAGTTTTAGCTGTAATTGTTTTTAAAGGTGATACTGAGAGCAAGGACAACAAGAATTCCACACCTGTAAAATGCTGTTTGGGCCGTCCCAGGGTTGATTTAGATTGCACTGAAATCAGAAATGCTTTGGTAATAATAACATTATCACACCTCACCAGTGTGCAGCGGATGAATCTAAATTTTGACTAATGATGATGATGCAAGTCAGAGATATTACCTGATTAAAATAGGTGCACAACAGTTCTCAACCTAGGAGTTGCAAGATTATCATTGAGGGAAAAAAAGGCTTATATTATGGATGATTTTTCATTAAAATCTTTCCAGTCTCTCACAGTAATGATAAAAAGGTGATGCCTCTGCTGCTGCAGTGCATGTAAAGGATGCTGTTTAGAGCACCACAGCCATCAGTTTAGTTTTTCTGCCACTTTAAATGTTGTATAGCCTGCATGTTTTTTTTTTTCCCCAAGCTAAAGAGCTTAGTTTGGGTTCTCTGCAGCATCTGCTGCTTCATTCTTTACTATTATTTCTACAATATTATGCTAAACAGATTGGTAGGTGGGTTAAGGCAGGAGCATACAGAGTTAAAGCGAAAAAGTCTGAGTGGCGCAGTTGAACAGCAGCACTTTTAATTTTACGACCTTCTGTGTATGCCAGCTTTATGTGATTATTGTCTAACTACACTACAGAGCATTCACATATAGAGCTTTGGCTGGTCAAAGTCTGATATAATTAAATTCAAACCAAAAAATTTGGCTGTTGGTTGGTTTATGATCAACTGTGTCTCAGTAGTTTGTAAAGTTCCTGCGCTCACCCTGCTTTTTCATGATTCATGTCCATAGGTAGCTTGTGAATGCTGCCTGAGCCACTCGCATGCTGTGGGGCTGAACTTTGAGGAGAATCTCACATGTTTGTTTAAATATCACACATTTTTAAACTAGTTTATTTTTGTTAATAAATCAAAGTTCAGTATTTACATTTTTTGACCGATGCATGCTGTTCTGTATTCAGTGTTTTGCTTCTATGATTGATGGAAGGAATTATTATAAACAGTGTATTAATTGTTAAATAAATGAATCGTTACAAATCTAGGCCTCACTATGGCGAGCCCATCCTGCCTGAATAGCTGGTTTACACTGCCACATCGAAGAAAATATCGTCATTCAAACAGGTCCTTTTGGATTTGTCTGGATGTAATACATTTTTAAACAGTGGGTATTTACTTCAACTCAGCAGAAAGAAAGCATGTGGTCTTTGTTGAAGTCAGTTTTTTTGTCTCTGATAAATCAGCGCAGGTGATACGGCAGCAGTGCACTTTATTTAGAAAGCTCCTAGCATGTAGTGCGTTTGCTCAAAGGTTATAACAGTGTCCCTGTGTTTGAGTCACACTGAGCTAAATACCACAACCACGCTGGAGTCAAATCACATCAAAAAGAGTCTCTCTCTCACTCTCTCTCTCTCTCTCTCTCTCTCTCTCTCTCTCTCTCTCTCTGTCTCTCTCAGATTGTGTTTGACGAGAAGGAGCTGCGGCGAGAGATCAGTCATGCCATTAAGAACGTCCACGGTGTCAGGCAAGTGGAGCCTCACTGATAGCCTGCACTTAGCTGCCCTGCGGGGGCTGCTGGCTGGCAGGACCACCACGATCTTCCACCTGCTGCTCACATACACATACATTCTGGTCCACTCTCACACTCTCTCGTCTCACTATTGTTGCCCCTTTCGTATTTTCACACTCGCACAGTCACTCACTTAATCACTGTCCGTCTGCCTGTCTGTCTCTCTCTTTCCCGTTTGTCTGTCTTTCCCCTCATGTGTCTCTCTCTCTCTCTCTCGCCCCCATTTTTCTCTCTGTTTCTCATTTCCTCATGTCTCTCTCTCACCTGTTTTTCTTGCCCCTCATTTTTCTCTCTTTCCCATTTTCTCATGTTTCTCTCTCCCCCATTTCTCTCTCCCCTCGTTTCTCCCTCTCTTTCCAATTTTTTCATTTCTCTCTCTCCTTCCTCATTCATTTTTTCTCTCGCTCTCTCGCTCTCTCTGTACGAATATGACGCTCTATCACTGTGTATCGCTCTGAGGCGTCTCTGAACTGTTTAATCAGCTTTCTCCCACAGAGCCTGACACTCTCATCCTTGTTTGTTGTTTGTTGTGTTGTACTGACAGCAAGCTAAACCTGTTTCATTTTCCTCTTTTTTCTCCTCACTTCTCACTCTCGTCACACTCTCACTTTGCCTCCCTCTCTTTCTCTCTCTCCCACTTTTTTCTCTCTTTCGTGTGCTTTGCCACAGCCTTTTCACCTTTTTGCTTCTCTTTCTCACTTATTGTTTTTTGTTGGGCCATTTTTATTTTTCTGTTTGCTACTCCTAAATGTTTTTTTTTTTTCTTTGCCGCTTATTTTTCATGTCTCTGCTTTTTTTCCCAACCTGTCTGTTTCTACTGCTTTCCTTCTTCTATGTCTTTATGCCTCAGTACCTTTTCTCTACCCTTTTCTTCTCTACTGCTTGTCTGTATTTCTTACACTCCTCCGTCTTTCCACTTTCTTTGTTCTTTTCTTTCATCCTTTCTTTCTTTCTTTTCCATGTGTCTGTCTGTCCATGCCCCCCCCCGTCTGTACGTCTGTCTCTGTGCATTTTTTGTCATCCGGGCTGTGTGTCTTCCTGTATGTTCTCAGAACTGGCCTGTTCACTCCAGACCTGGCGTTTGAGGCCATCGTGAAAAAGCAGGTCGTAAAGCTGAAAGAGCCGTGTCTCAAATGTATCGATCTGGTCATTCAGGAGCTCATCAACACGGTCAGGCAGTGCACCAACAAGGTACTGCAGTGCCCCCTGGCCCGGCCACAGGGGTGGGCCGTTCTTCCTGGGGTCACACCGCCCTGAAAGCAGGCCAGAGGAAGCCTCTCTGCAGCCTACCTTCAAGGCACAATAGAGAGTTAAGAATAGACTCTGGACTGCAAGAGTGGTAGATGTAGATACAGTTGTGTCTGTGTGACCCCTCAGCTTGCCGGCCACCCTGTGCGCAGGTCCTGCTGTCGTGTGGTGGGGTGTTGTGGTGGTCTTGTGCCAAAGAAACCCACTCGTTTCGGGTCTAAAAAGGAGGGCAGGCTGCTGGGGCACATCTTGCTGAACTTGTAGGTGCATGTAGAGGGTTTGGATAGGGCTGCAGTGACTGGTCAGAGAAAATGATAATGTTGATTTACATAAGAAACGTAGATGTGGATTTTTATTGACGATGCACTGTTTATCTAGGAAAAGAAGCCTATAAAGCTTTACGTGCTCATTTCACTCGACTGCCGTTCTGAAATCCAGTGCGAGGCTGAGGTGGGAACATTCTGTAAATACTAAAGGAAGCCGCAAAAGATGACTCATTGCACTACTAATCTTTTTTTTTTTTTAAGATCAACTTTTTATTGCGTTTTATAGCAGAGGGAAGGTAGAGGGTACAGAAGGCAGGATGGTGACATACATTGTTAGGAATAGACAACATACAGATCAAAGATAAGGCCAAAGACCATACAAAACAAACAACCAGACTAGTTCAGTTGCTTCTTACCACATGAAGTATTTTTTTTCTGCAGATCTGACGAGCCTGTTTTGTACGAATTTGTGGGGGCAGAGTTTTTATTTTTTATTTTTTTTGTGTGTTTGTATGCCAGAGCTCTGTGTTTAGGTTTAATTCCCCTTTTATCAAACTTCTAAATTTGAATAATGTTGGATGTAATTGAAATTGCACCTGTTGCAAATTGACTATCATTCTTTTAAATTATGATTTTGATATTAAAAATGATTAATCGTTCAGAACTATACTAGTTAAGCAAGTGCACATCCCTCATACTTACTGCTTTATACTGTAATGTAAACATTTATTTTACAATCTGATTCTTACTCATTGGATTTCAGTATGGCGGATGAGTAAAATGAGCGTATAATGTATGATACAGTGATTCCAACAGATTCCAATGTACTGGAGAAAACATGGGGAGCTATATTGTTTGTATTGTTTTATTTTGCCGTACCTCAAGAAATCATGTATTTCACTGTTAGTTATAGCATCAGCAAAAGGAGAGAAAGCAAAGAAGAGGTTAAATCAGTCAATTAACGTTAGAAGAGTTAGTTGACCAGTCTATAGGCTTGCAGAACTTGTGGTGGAGTGGATGCCAAAAGCCTTTGCAGCCAATAAAACTTACAGTATGGATGTGTAAACCACTGCCTGCCCCCGTTTTTGACTGACATGGATGTGTGTTTATAGATTAGCAGTGATTAACTAACTAAACAAAGTCTTTTCTTCTTTTCTTCACTCTTCCCTGTTGTACTCTTTCTGTCTCTATTCCTGTCTTTTGCCCAATCCCTCTTTCCTGGCACCCCTCACCTCAGAACTGGGTTGTTCACCCCTGACCTTGCTTTTGAGGCCATCGTGAAAAAGCAGATCCTCAAACTCAAAGCACCCAGTCTGAAGTGCGTCGACATGGTGGTGTCGGAACTCACCACCCTCGTCCGGAAGTGTGCTGACAAGGTAACCAGGAAGGAAAGCAAACCTGGATTAGGGGATAGAAGTCTTTCCCACCTTCCTGGTGGCATTTACATGCTTCACGCCTCTTTTATGCCACCCGCTCACCCAATCAGCACCCATTTGTATAAGATAAGCCCCTCCTTTTAGCCACACCCATCCTCAGTGTTTGGATTGTGCTTGGTCAGTTTCATGTCCAGCCATTGCTCCATTCAGTCACGACTCATGAGTCCTCCTTAGTCCTACCCAATAACACGCTGATTGCACTGGAAAAGAATGTGTACCATTCGTGGAAAGTCCCTTCTCCTGCCCGTTCCTGCTTTATTCTGCTGCCAGCTCACTGAAGCCTTTCGTTTATTAGCCTCTGTCCCTTCTCGCTCTTTCCAAGCCTGCCTTTACCTTCGCTCATGTAAAGTATGGGTGGAGATGTCTAGAACTGTGATAATTGTTGAATCATGACTCGGTTTTTGACAGTGATACTTGCATCAATATTTATTTTTCATTCATTTAATTTATTTGTTCATTCACTTATTGGTATACTCATACTTATTGCTATAGCTACATCAGTGTGAATTATGTGCCTGTTTAAGGCCTGTAGATAGTAGCTACAGAAGAGCAGTAAATCCTATAATGCTTTATCTGTAGCTTTTGCTCCTGCAGTATTCGCACAGTGTGCCATAGTGTAGTGTGCAAAAATGAGAGACTACCCTTTCGTTCATTTAATTAAGTCAAAACAGCCATTAGGTACATGTTATTCATTTTTCAGCAAATATTTCTGAGGAGTTTACATATAAGATAAGATAATCCACTTACATAAGGATGGGGAAGGTCAAAGAAAAATAAGCGGAAAAAACAGGAGTTGTGTGGAGTATAAAAAAATTATTGAAAGAAATTTGATTCCTAACAACACTGCAAGATCCGGTAGACCACCAATAGTGTACCCATCATATAAATAGTTCTTTCATCTTTGAGTGAGAGGAGAACATTAGTGTTTCTGTCCATCCTTCCACTGTGAGAAGACTCCACACTATAGGTCTGAAAGGATGTGTCGCGGTCAAGAAGCCCTTACTGAGAAAAGGAAGTAGAAAAAGACGAAAATTTGCAAATCAAACAAAGAAGCTGCTGATGTTCTCAGAATAATGGAGTGACCACCCCAGAACTCAGAAGCAGAAAAGGCAACCAACTTCTAAGACTGAACTTTGGAGGTTGCAGATTTCTTTGAAAAACTGAAACCAAGTTTCCCATAAAGAATAGAAGCTGTAACAAAGATAGAAGGTGGACATAGTAAATGCAAAAAAGAAGGAAAATACATTTGTGTATCTAAAAAAAGTATTAAGGAAGACGGGGCTCTGACTTGTGTACAGCACTGTATATTAGTGATACTGTTTGACATAGCACACCTCTCTAGGTGAAAGGGTTCACTAGGGAGTTTAGTTTAATAGTACTGTTATTGCAGTGTCATGATACGTCGTGAAATGTCTGATCACGTGATTAATATCATACTGTGAGCTGCTTAAAGATACTCAGCCTTAGTGCAGCTCAGCTTGTGTTTGGAGAGGCAGCTGGAGACAGAAAAGCTCGTCTTCCCAGAGGCAGTTCTGCCGGTTGGTTAGCAGCGGAGCTGTAGCCGTAGCAACGGGGGAACCTCTGTGCCGCTCTGTTCACCACCCCCGGCTCCTGTTGCCACTGTTTCCGTAGCAACAGGACTCACCTGCCACCTTGTGGAAGGGAGACGAACTGCATCCTGTACTTGTTTTTATTTATTTATTTATTTATTTATTTATTTTTGAGATTTTTCAACTGTCCTTTTTACCTTTCATCTTAAACTAGCGCAGTGTCCAGGTGCAGTTTTGAGGAGCCTTAGTCCTGCACAAATTGGTTATTTTCACCTGATTCAACTCAGCAGTTAGTTACCTGTGGGATATTTTACAGAATTACATTTACATTTTACATTTTAACAGATTTTTCTCAGCCAATTAACTTAAAGGGGAATTCCACTGATTTTTCAAGTTTCCACTTAGTTCAGTGCTTAATATGTAAACAAGGTCATTCAGAGTGGATTGATGTGAAATGATTTGTACTAGTGAAACTTACCAAGACAGAATTAGTCACAGCAGTGGTGATGGGAACCAGGCGTCCAAAGAATGCAATGCCTGTGAAACCTACCTTATGGAAAGGTTTTCTCACAAAACTGTTATGAATATGCTGCCTGATGCCTGAGACATACTTTTGAGAAGCTTTTGGTTTTTTCCTATTCCTTATTATCACCACCACTGCAAAGAAATCTAAGTTGCAACGTTTTTCCACAGCAAACCGTTTCACATCAAACCACACTGAATTCATTTGTGTACATCTCAACAATTGAATTATGCATAGATTTAAAAAAAATTGGTGGATTCATCTTTAAGCGCAAAGTCAAACCCTGTCTGGGTTTCTCTTATTAGGCAGGCCTTTATTTTGGCTTAAGTTATCTGGATAAATGCTTTGCTAAATGGGTTTAGTAGGTTTCAGAACAGGGAGATCACCCAACTGTGCTGGACTTTAGCTCCCAGGACCAGGGCACATCTGAGCTTGCAACTCTCACACACACACTCTCTCTCTCTCACACTGTCCCTCACTGTCTCTCTCTCTCACTCTCTGCGTTTGCCTTTGACGCCATTAACACCTGGCAAAAACAGCAACTTACCACAGCCATCACTCTCAGCCACAGAAGACTATATTTGTGATGTTCTCAAATATAGACTTTTTTGTTTGTTTTTGTAATATTAAGTTCATTTTAAGTTGTGTTCATTTATTTCTGTGATTATTTACATATTTTTGACATGTAAATTCCTCATTTAGTGTAGTTTGTTTTAGATATACGATTCTGTGATTTCCATTAACTGATCCGATTCTTTCTTAGCTGATGGTGAGTGCTTTACTGGCTGATTGCACTTTTGTATGTGTATGTGTGCATGTGTATATGTACACACCCACACTTACACAGAAGCTCACTCCACCAGTTTCAGCCAAACACAAGTGTGTCCTCTTTCACGCTTTCACTCTGACCTGTCCTGACCTGACCTGAGGGGAAAGAGAACATGCTTGTGGTTGGTTGTGGTTGTGGCCAGCTTTTGCAGACTTGCAGCCTTCAGCGCCGAGTGCATGCGTGAAGTATATGCTGTAGTCTGCAGTATTGTGTTTGTGTTCACAGCTGGGCTCCTACCCCCGACTCCGAGAGGAGACCGAGAGAATAGTCACTACACACGTCAGAGAGAGAGAGGGCAAGACCAAGGACCAGGTGACACATACTTACATACTGGGGTCTGACCGATATGGTAATATTGGTATTGGCATCCGGTACCAGTGAAATGACAAAATACAGATACCTCATGTTGATACCACAGCAAAACCAGAAATCCTGTTCAGTAGACCATTGCTAAAACAAAAATGTATGATCATTAGCACTTAAAATAAACATATGAGTGTATGTAAACAGTGATCTTTTATTATTTACAGTAATTATTAATATTGTTTATATTTGAGTATATTGTGGTATTTTAATAAAGCTACTAGGCTATCAGAAAAGCCCACTAAATACTGTGAAGGAAATATTGAGAAATGGCTACACTACAAAAGTTATATTTTAACAAGTGCAGTCATCTTAAAACTAGTTGAGATAGTTACAGTTTGTCATTTTGAAGTTGTTAAAAAAAATAGGACAGCATTTTTAAACTTATTTAACTAGATTTTTTATTAGTTTTAAACCATTTTGTCAATAGAAATTGTGTTATTAAACAAGCTAAAACTAACTTCCAGTGGAATTCTTAATTATGTGGTAGGCTGTAGCCTTAAGAGTTAGTTTAAAATGATCAGTGTGTTCAAAATAGCATACTCTATACTGCACACTGCACCAGTACATTCTTTATACTGCATGCTACTCCTCACACCAGTATGCCGTGTAGTATCCAGTATGCCACTATTACCATCATGTACTGTGTACCGTAACTAGACTCAACCTCAGTGGGTGAGCCAGTTTGACTGATCCCAAGACTCCCTTAGCTCTCCAATCCCTGTTTAGTAACCACTGGTAACCGCTTTCCCATAATGCATTAAGGAATGCAGCGTGTCATGAAGATAGCTCGGGCTGCATTCTGGAATATTTGGCCAAAGCAGAGTGTCATCTTTGTTCGTACTGGAGAAATGTATGTTTGTCACATACAGTCAGTATGCGTGCAGTATGCAGCAGGCTACAAGCACTACAAGCTTATCCCTACATAACCTTTGTTGTCTGACTCAAAATCATAGTATTTCGTTGTGAACTCTGCTGATTTCTTATTGGTAATATTTTGGCATTTGGCAGTGCTGTTACTGCAGCCGCACATTTAGACTCCATTGTCATGTTATTGTCCTCTCCAAGTTTCCCTCTGTGTGCTGTCGGACAGAAATGTGGAACCAACTTTGTACTGTTGATACCACAAAAAATAGTTTAGCTTGTTTTTGTGTTTTTTCTTCTTCATTTTGGCATTGACTTACCACTGAGGTACTGGTTATTGTGACATCTCTAGTCTTAACACAGATTGCTAAGCTGGCAGTAACTAATTACTTACAATACAGGCTGAATTTGGAAGCTTGAAGCTTCGACACAAAACACCAAAATGGTTTAAATGCATCCAAACTTTTAACCTTGAGGGTTACTGAAAATTAGCTAATTAACAGATACCAACAAAAATGCTAAGAATGTTGAGAAGCTCTGTCATGGATTTTCATATCAGCCTGGCCCTTTTACACACATCCAGCCTTTTCTCTTGTTTTCTTTTAGTGAAAGTTAACACATCTGCTACAGGGAACAAAGTTAAATGTAGCATTATCGGCTGAAGGTACTACACAGTTTCTGTGTATTTGCTGAGTGTGGAAAAAAACTAAAACATAAAATGTGCCAGATCTTTTTCTCACAGATCATATTTTATGGTTTTTTTTTTTTCCAATATATTAAATTAATCAAATAAACAGTAACTGTGCTTTACAATGTGCCGTGGTCTGTTGTCTGTAGAGGATGTTATTTTCGTTAATTTTCATTTCAGAAATCAACAAAGCGTAATTTGTTAAGGGGCACATTTGCATACTACTGTATACGCCTTCTCAGTTTCTCTTTAATCTTTCTTCAGGTTCTGTTGCTGATTGACATTGAGCTGTCCTACATCAACACCAACCATGAAGACTTCATTGGATTTGCCAAGTATGTGTATCTCCATATTCATCTCCTCCACTTCCCCAGCATTTGTTCCCCAGGCCTTGACCTTGGGGACATATGTGTCTCAAAGGCTGATACTAATGTAGCCTGTGGCTTGTAGCCTGGACTAGCCCTCTAAATCAAACTACTTCTTGTAGTGTATGGCCCGAGCAGGAGGTCCAACATAACAAATGTCGTTAAAGCAGAACTTCAGGCAAAAAATATCAAGCCTGGCTGACAGTTGATGAAAGGAAGGGATTAGCATGACTTCATGAAGAAGTGCTGCCTAGGTCCTACTACAGTTCTGTTCGTTGTTAATACCTAGTGGTTTCTTGTGACATTTTCCTTTAAAGGAATTAAGCAAGACAAGTCAGACCACTTGTCTTGACCACTTCTGTGTTCCTCACACAGATATCTGAAATACACATGGGAAAAATCCATTGAGCAGTGTCCTCCCTGCATGGTCTGCAGTGCATGAATGAAGAAGAATAAGAAGTAACTTTTTGATTTTGATGAAAATGAACTAGTTTCTAAAGAACTTTTTTGCATGATAAGGGTAGTCAAGGTAGGACCTAATTTTTGAAGGTATTGCTTAAATGCAGGTTAAATGTTAGCATGTTGGTTAACAGCTAAAAAGTAATAAAGTAATTTTTCGGAGTTATGACTGAAGGAGAAATCCACCGATTTTTCATGATTACTACATACTTTAATAATTGAAATGTAAACAAAGCTGCTCATAATGTTTTGATGTGAAGTGGTTTGTTATAGAGAAACTTAATGAATCTAATTTCTTTACAGTGGTGGGAACCAGGGATCACAATGTCTAAGACACACATATATTTCATTTACTATTCAAATGGCTGTAATCCTTCTGAGTTTTAATATGTAATATAAGCTACATTTACATTACCAGGTTAAAGTGGCACCAATCCCTTTTTTTTCATGTGAGCTGATGTTTTCAGGGCTGTGTGGACACACATCTGATCTATTCAAATCCGACCGTAGCCACTTTCATATGTGGTCCTAGATCGGATACGTATCCGATTCGTGGCTAGGCGACCTTAATGTGACGCTCAGATCGGAATTCATGTGCTTTTTTCCCACTGCGCGTGCGCCATCATTCAGCGTTACCATGGCAGCAGCAGCGAACAAATGTTAAAGCCTGTAAACAGTGGAAAAGCAACACATCTCGCCTTTTTCGCCTTTGTCTCGCTCTAATAATGGAGCTGAGAGCTGATCAGAGTTAATTATCTTCTCAGCAAAGGCTCGTTCTGACCATTAGTTTATTTGCTGATGATGCACGTGATTCATTCAGGTGACTGAGTAGGATGTGCACATGCGGGTCATTTCAGGCTGCTGGTTTGTTCACAGTTCACGTGACAGATTTGAATCACTTACCCAAACGAGTCTGAACATTCATGTCAGAGAGATCGGATTTGAGCAAAAAATTGGATTTGAGCAATGAGATTGTTTTGTAAACGTAGCCATTGGTGATGGTAAAGTAGGGGGAAATGTGAAAATATTTAAGTTTTCTTTGGGGGCTATGAATGATCTCCATCATGAATGGAGTTTAAAAATACGTTTAAAGCCAAAATTTAATCTAAAAACTATCATACAACAATGTCTCAGCCATCAGACAGTGTATTCATCAACACTTCATGTAATAACTTTCTGTGAAGTATCTTCCACAGGCCCTAAATGCTTCAGACATCTGGTTCCCATCACCACCACTGCAAACAATTCTGACTGTAGGTTTCCCTAGAACGCAGCATTTCACATCATACCACTCTGAATGACTTTGTTTACAACTAAATAATTTAATTATGAAGAAACACATTTTTTAAAAAATTTTGTGCGCTTAACAGTTTAACTGTTAGCATTTTACAGTTTTATCTGAGTGCGTGGCATGGTGTTCAGTCACAGTTAGCAAAGCATAGGGAAGAGGCATAAGCAGAAGTTGCTGGTTGCATGTACAGTACAGGAGGCTCCATGACACTTGATTTGGCACTGAGCCTGCGTGGGTGTGACCCCAAGGCCCCGTTTGACCCTGCTCGCTGTGCATGTGTCCTTGTGCGCATGCAGTCAGTGCCACCGTCACTCACGCTAGCCATGTTAACGGTTTTCGTGACGTCACCTTTCAGTCTTGACCACCGAAGGCTGGATGACGGTACCCTTCCTGGGTACAGCAGCAACAGGTGGGCGAGCAGATACACACCTACACGCACCTCCTTTAGCCTGGGTCATGTGACCTGGTTGACCAGCACTGGTCACTAGTGTTCAGTTGCGCATTGCTGGTTCACAGCATGAAACTATCTCAGAGTTAGCTCACGCTACAAATTGTTGTGGTTTTATCTTTTTGCAAAACAGAAAAAAGGAAGAATGTGTAGAATTAACTTCTGTTGTTTTTTTTTTTTGTTACTTCCTTCTTTTATGTCCTTGTTTTCCTGTCTGCCTCTCTGTCTCCCTCATTTTCTATTTAAAACCTAACTCAAATTTAGATAGCTTTATTGGTGTGAGTTGTAATAAGTTGCCAAAGCAGTGACAGAAGTGCTTTATGCATAGAGTATTAATAATACTGAAAATAAATAAATAGACAAAGATTTATGTACAGAAAGAAACAAGATGCAGGCACTTTTTCTTTTTGAAAGGCACAGTATATGATTCTGGAGAATGACTGTTGATATTGATACCCCTCCCTTCAGTGCTCCTTCAGAAGCTCCATCCCTCAAATTAATGGATGCACACTGGGGTAGCAAAATATTATTATATATTTTTTTTTTTAAATCTTCATGGCCATAAAACTCTTTGCAAATATTGTACAGGCAACAAACATAACATTAGAGCGAACAACCACACAGCATGTAATGTAACTAACGTTAGCTAGAAGCTAATCAGTTGCTATCACAAACATTAGCAAATTGGACACAACACTACTCACCTATTGGTTCTGTGAAACAACAAAAATAAGTTAATGTAATCCACCTGTCAAGCAGAAACAGAGCAACCACTTCATCCCTTTTCATGCCTTTCAACTCTCAGTGAAGCTAAAGTGAACTTCTTTATCGCCTGCTTCTTGTTAGAATTTTCCTGTTTCACCTTAAATGGTGCAGTAGTTACATGGAACTGCTGCACGATTTAAGGTTGAACTGGAAAATGCAAATAAAAAGCCAACGTCAGCCTCATCAACTCTCACAGAAATGCCCTGAATTTGAAAACTGCACCTTTAATATATTTCCAGTGCATACAGCATTGTATAAAAGTCTAAGGCATCTAAGCACATTACTTAGAACCATTAATCTTGGCAATAAGAATGTATTTGCTTTTAAAAAAAAAACAGTATATATAATTTAAATAGATGAACATAAATACAGTAAAGTTGGCTTCTTATTTTGAAAAAAGCAGTTGATATTTTGTAAACTGGTTTGAAAAACAATGTTTGGTTCCAGATGTCTTCTGAGAGCCCCCAGACAAATCAGGTAATGGATGATAACTACAGTTAATACTGGACTTCCTCAAGGAGAAGTTTGGAAATGGTTAAACAACCATGGTGACATATGTAAAGTCACTACTTACTGTATCAATATTAGAAGTATTTATTCTAATATTAGTGTTTTTCTGAGCAAATTCATTCTTAGGGTCCAGATAAATAGCTAATGCTAATTTTCTCAGGTGCCTAGAACTGTTGCACAGTACTGTAAATCCACTGTCTACGAACACCTGTAAACAGAAAAGGAAGCTTAAAAAATAGTTAAAAAAATAAAGATTAAAAAAATAAAAATAAATCAGTTTCTACATATTGCTGCAAAAAATGATCTTGATGTTGCAACCATGGTGAAGGAGCTTCCTAAAGTTCTCTGGGACAGCATTATTAAAGCACACTCTGCAGAGCTACCGAGCACTTGAAACGCAAAGATCCCTGTTAGTACAGTTGGTTTGATTCTGTGCAGTTGGAAAGATAAATAAAATTGTAAATACAATTAATCATGCCTGGACAGGTGCACCATGCAACATTTGTCTCAGATTGAACAAAGAATAATGATGAACAAGGTAAAGCTTGGTGGCATTGTGTGATGGGGAGACATGGCTAGTGAGTGGAACTGGCCAAGACTAAATTGGGGAGAAAATGAAAAATAAATACATATAAAATATTTTATTAATTAATAATACGGGAAAAAAGTAATGACTTTGTTAGGCAAAAAAAATCATGTTTTAGAGGCTGTATCACTGAATAATAATAATAATAATAATAATAATAATAATCAGTATCACTGAATAATATGCTAAAAATAATATAAAATTAATATTCAGTATCACTGAATAAAATAATATAATATAATGTTGTTCAATAATAGCATGTACCACTGTAACTTAACAATGGCATTTTCTCCATATATGCACCTTATCTTCATTTTTTGCTTTATTTTCTTTACGTTTTTATTAATATCTGTCTATTGGGTTATATAATGAAAGTAAATTTCTCTCTCTCTCTCTCTCTCTCTCTCTCTCTCTCTCTCTCTCTCTCTCTCTCTCTCTCTCTCTCTCTCCCTCTCTCCTCCTCTCCTTCCCTCTCTCCTCCTCTCTTTCCACAGTGCTCAACAGAGAAACCCACATGTGAATAAGAAAAGGGCTATTCCAAACCAGGTACACAATTCTCTCACTCATTCTGCTTCATCAGTCTCTCAGTTTTTTAATCTGTTTATTCATTCCAAATGTGTCTTGTTTCTCACTGAATCTCCTATAATAAAGAATGAATCCTATCTTGTGTACCTTCCTGTACCCCAACTACCAAAGATTCAACACCTGCCCTTATTTAGAATCTCCAACCCCCTCCTTTTGACTACTGACCGCATTGCCCCCTAGTCTGTCATGGCTCACTGGTTTTAGCATGTTTTGCTATGTGTAATGCTCCCAAGTAGTGAATTCCTATGAGCCCTGTGTGAGTTTTAAAGCCTTCAAAATTTCAGCCAAAATATTGTATCTCTGAGAGCCCCCTTTGTTCTCTTTGCCCTCTGCACTTTGACAAACCCGCACTTCCGCTACCGCTGCATTACTACATGCATGCAGCGCTCAACAGGCATGAATATCAGCACAGCTGTCAAACGAACCAATAATCAGTGTTATTTTTGTTTGCCACATGTTATTCCTCATTTAACTCAAGCTTCTTCTTTCTTTTGTAGAAATTGATCATTTAGAATGTGCATGGATTTCAGCTGCAGCAATGAAGCAGCCGTTATGATAAATCTTATTTGTCGTACTGCAAGTAAATCTAATTGCATGTAACTGTGTTCTGTTGCTCTCTCTCTCTCTCTCTCTCTCTCTCTCTCTCTCTCTCTCTCTCTCTCTTCTCTTCTCTTCTCTTCTCTTCTCTTGATCTCTCACTCTTCTGTCTCTGTTTGTCTGTCTCTTTTCTGTCTCTTCCCATCCGTTTTCTCCTCTCTTTTAAACTCACCCAAACATCTTTTCTCTCTCTTTTCTCAATGTGTGGATTGCAAAACTTCTCTGTTTTCTTTCTATCTTCCTCTCCTTCCTTGCTTTGCTTGTTTTTTTTTCCCTCCCACCCCTCCCCTTTACCTGTCACTGCAGGGCGAAATACTGGTAAGTACCCCACCAAACAAGCCCCATCCAATCAGGGCTCATCAGGGCTCAGCCAATCAGGAGAACTGAGGCTATGGCGGTTTCTTGTCGTAGGGTGCTTATTTGGCATTAGGTAAACAGTCTAGGAAGCCCCTCTTCATGTGGTAGCTGACAGGCTTTTAAAAGCTGCTGTTTTTGTTCTACCCTGCAGCTAGGTGGGCTGAGAGAATGTGAACAGGAACAGGTATCGTCCTCTGACACTGTAAACAGCAAAATCTGGGAGGATCTGCAATTGTTTCAGTCGCTGTTACTAGTAATCAGTAACAGCCCTAGTTTTTTACAATTGTTTGCCCTATAATTAGTGGCATTACATAACCCACAAGTAATTTGTATAATTGAACATATATTTGCTACTAACAACTAATAATATTATATGCCTTCTGTAAAATAACGATACGTTTATTTGTTTAGCGTGTTGTTATTATCCAGAGTGACAGTACAGAAGTTTTACGAAGTTTATTCAGCATTTAAAATGAAGCCTTGGTTGTCCTGTGGTCTGGTTGAGTGCTGGCAGCTCCTCCAGGGGGTGCCGAGTTTGCCTTGTGGAGGAATCAGCTTTGATTCCTGGCTGCACCGTGGGAGGGGGGTTGTGGGGGGCTGAACCAATCAGCCGTTAGGACTAAACTACACTCTCTAATCATATCTGTGTCTGTGTATGTCTTTGTTTTTGGAAATCACTCACTATATTTTTTACAACTTTATTATGGTTTCATTTTATTTTCCTTTCTTTATTTAGTGAGTAAACAGTCAAGACTTCTTGCAGTTATTTGCAGTTACTTTACCATTTTTACAGTGGGGGGAAAAATTAGCTTTTCATTCCACGTCATTCTGAAAGTCAGAATATTAATTCTCTCTTTATGATTGATCCTTTGGTTGTAGTAAAATGGTGGGATCTTTCTAAATGATGATGATGATGACTAATAATAATAATGTTCTGCGTAATCAAAGTTTTCAGTTCAGCTAATTCAATGAAAGTCCTTCTGGTGTTCTATTAACCCTTTCCTGCATGGTGTTGCCATATGCCAACAAGTAATTTGCTTTCATTTGCCTTTGTGTGTAAAACGGTATACTTTTTTCTGATTCATCACATGATAAAATGTAGCTTCTGAAGCTCTCGAAGTGTTTCTCAACACCATTCAACAGTGAAACTGCTGTCTGTAATGAATACAACATTTGCATTCACAGCATTTAGCAGACGCTCTTATCCAGAGCAACTTACAAGAAGTGTCTATCTAGAGAAAGTAGATAGTTTGCTAGTTACCAATAGGTTATAGAGAAAGCTAGTCCTGAGCTCAGATACTGCTAGAAACAAAAGTCCCTGTTGATACCCAGAGAAAAAGGAACAGAGTTAAACACAGTGCAGTGTAATACAATACAATATAATACAATACATTTTTAAGTGCAGTACAATACATTACAATGAATACTTAACTCAGTGCTCATTTAAGTGCTGTATAATGAGACTTCAGTCTGCGTTTGAAGACCGCGAGAGACTCTGCTGTACGGACAACCAGTGGGAGTTCGTTCCACCACCTGGGTGCCAGTAAGAGAAAAGTCTTGATGCTTGTCTTCTGTGCGTCTTGAAGGATGGCAGGTCAAACCAAGCTGTACTTGAAGCTCGAAGGGCTCGTGGTACGGTTCGAGTTTTGACCATTGCTATCAAGTAGGCAGGGGCTGGTCCATTTTTGGCATTGTAGACAAGCATCAGGGTTTTAAATCAGATGCGTGCGGCTACAGGAAGCCAGTAAAGGGAGCGCAGCAGTGGGGTGGCGTGGCTGAACTTAGGGAAATTGAAGACGAGTCATGCTGCTGCGTTCTGGATGAGTTGCAGAGGCTTGATGGCCTGCATTGGAAGACCAGCCAAAAGTGAGCAGTAGTAAAGCCTTGAGATGACAAGAGACTGAACTAGCAGCTGGGTGGCCTCTTGAGTGAGAAAGGGTCGGATCCTCCAGATGTTGTACAGGAGAAACCTGCATGACCGAGTTAGGTTCGCGATATGAGCTGAGAACGATAACTGGCCATCCAGAATCACACCAAGACTTCTTCAGATCATGACGAGGACCTATAGTTGCAGGGTTGAATAGCAGCTCAGTCTTGCTAGGATTGAGCTTCAGGTGGTGATCTGCTATCCATGAGGAGATGTCAGTCAGACATGCCAAGATGCGACTGGAAACCTGTGTTTCAGAGGGTGAGAAAGAAAGCATTAGTTGAGTGTCATCAGCATAACAGGGATAAGAGAAGCCATGAGAAGATATTACATCACCAGGAGACCTAGTGTAAAGAGAAAAGAGAAGAGGACCCAGCACCGAGCCTTGTGGGACACCAGTGGAGAGCCTGCATGGAGAGGATGTGGACCCTCTCCATGTTACCTGATAAGAGCGACCCTCCAGGTAGGACTTGAACCACTTCCACACAGTGCCAGTGATTCCAAGGTTGGTGAGGACGTCCAGAAGGATTGTGTGGTTGACCGTGTCAAAAGCTGCTGAAAGGTCAAGAAGAATCAGGACAGATGACAGTTTGGCTGATCTTGCTGACTGGAGCTTCTGGTCACTCCTATAAGAGCAGAAAACAAGGGAAGGGAATGAACACAGTGCCTTAGGACAGCCATTTTAAGAACTTTCTACACTCTAAGTTGCATTTTTTAATTTTGAAATAATTTTCATACCTTTCTGTATTTTTACACATTTCTGCATATATGACTTGTTTTGCACATGCCTAGATAATGAATGTGGCATTGTCCTATGAGGTGTATTGGTCTACCCCCATGGTATTCTTTGCAGCTTGCAGTTTCATTTACACATGTTGCCGTATGGCAACAAAATACAAAGTGCCCCCACAAAAAAACTGTCTTCAGATTTTTATTAATTAATTTTCAGTTAGAAATATTATGAAAATGTCAGACCACACTTTTGTTTATTTAACTTCCAGTCAAAACAGCCATGAAGTTTGAGTTATTCATATTCGCCATCAGATCACCATTCACCAACACTATGGTTCTGAAAGGATGTGTAGCTGTCAAGAAGCCCTTACTGAGCAAAAAAGAAATAGACAAGCACTGCAGTAAATCACCCAAACTGGACATCTGAGATGAGGAGTTTTATATAGTGATGAATCTGTCGATTTCTTTGAAAAGCAAGTCTCTGGAAAACAGTAAAAGCAGTAATTACGTTTGTTGAGGCTTCTGAGTCACTTTCTGTTAAATACATGTTTCCTTTTTTTCCCAATGCTGAACACAAATACTTGTACCTGATAGCCATTTTGACTGGGAACTAAATAAATGAAAGGATAGACTCTGACTTTTGCACAGTACTGTGTGTTTCATAAATCATGCAGTAAAGGGTTAATAGGAGAAAATTCTTTGTCCTCTCTGATCAGATTTCAGATCTCAAAATTGCAGATTTTTTTATGATGATTTCTCAAGCTGCTTTGTTATCTTTATCAAGAGATCCAGTTTTTATAGTAGCTTTCGGTATGTGTTTTCAATGTACTGTCTAATGTTTTCAGGTATGTAGTGCATAATGTTGCTTTGCTGTTGATGGCTGCAGAATAACTGGAGTATCCTGAGTTAGTGCTCTGTTAAGATACAGAGAAGAAGCATTCTGATTGATATGAGATGAGAAAGCTCTAGGCCACAGGTTCCCATCCCTGTTCCTATAGTACCCCTGTTCTGAATAGTTTTGTGTTTTCTTCCTCTAACCCACAATTCATCCCAGAAAGGGCTTGTTAATGAGCTGATCCGTTGGATCAGCTGTGTTGGAGCAGGGAAAACAAGACTTCTAGAAGGAAATGCATCAAATGGTGAAACTGGTTAAGGTTTCATACAGTGACTGACCTGAGAATGACTACTGCTACATTACAGGCCAAAAGCGTGGAAACAATCAGGCATTTATTTGAGTTTATGAATGTTCTACAATTAAGTTAACAACCAACCAGGACAGCACAGTATATTATTATTTTTTACCGTTACCGTTATTATTACCGTTGCTTTTCAGCATCGGTTAGTCCATTTTACACTTCCCAGTGTAGGCCCTGGAAATCTACCACCCTGGAGAGTTAATGTTCAACACACCTGACTCTAATATTCAGATGCATGAAGGCCTTCATTACCTGTTTGATTGGGGTGTAGCTAAATTCTGCAGGGTGGGACATCTCTAGGACCAGGATTGGGCACCCGTGCTCTACTCCTGTAGGTTTTAAGGGCCCATATCCCATTTTTCTTGCATCTGATTTCCCCCCTGAGGTCCTTTTATGACGTTTGGATGGTTTTAAGCAACAAAGTTTTTGAGCTCCTGGGTGACTGTGCTAGTACTGTTAGCTGAGGTGCTGTACAGACGATTAGCGTTTGCCTGTTTCTCTTACATATTATATTCACTGCCTTTCTCTGTGTAAATTTCAAGCCACGTCTCCTACTCTGGTCTTTTGAGGTCTGGTTTTGGGTGTAATTTAATGCGGTAATACCAAAACGCTGAGTGGCCTGCTGTGGCACATCAACTCAACTATTGTATTTTTTATTTATTTATTTATTCACAAATTTCACATTGCTTCCAAATGTTTGGCCTGTAGTGTGTGCTGAGTCCAGCACTCTCCACATCAGAGCATATGAGAGATGTAAAACTGTGTGTCTCGTCATCCTCCTCTCTTCTGTCCTCCACTCTTCTTCCCCCCCTTATTTAAAAAAGGGCATATTTCAGAGTTTTAAATGCATTTCCCCACCAAGGCAAACAATAAGTAGAGCTTTCTGTTCTGGTTCTCTCCTGTTTCTCGTTTGTGTTGGCACACTCTGACCACTGATTTTTTCCTTTCTCTGACTCATTCTGCCTTCTGGAGAACACAGCGAAAAGAGAAAAGGAGGGAGAGGTGGTGGTCTACTTCAGCTGCAGCTCTAATTCATCAGGAGGGGTGTAAATCTCAAACTTCACCAAGATTTTATTCAGTAACATTCTCAAGGGAGTGATTCAGTGCATTGTGAAGTCTCAGATTTCACCATGATTCGATCTGATTACATTCAGCACATTTTGCCATAAATCAGCTTGATTCAGTTCTTTAGGAAATGATTCGGTGCATTTCACCATGACTTAAGTTAATTTTTTAGGCAGCGATTTCAGGGCATTTAACCATCGTTTGATTGGAACTGATTCTTTAGGAAATGATTCAGTGCATTTTGTAATGATTAGAATCTAGATCATTCTTTAGGAAAGAAAGCAGTGCGTAACACTGTGAGTGAGTTTTGATTCTTTAGGAAAGGGTTCACAGCAATTTACTATGATTCAGTTTTTTATGAGACCATTCAGTACATTTTACCATGATTCAATTTTGGTAATTTTGGATTTGATTTGATTCTTTAGGAAATGATTCAGTGCATCATAATCCACTACAATTCGATTTGATTGTTCTGGTAAAAATGCACTGAATTATGTTTCTGCAGAGGATAGTTCATTTGTATAGATAATAAAGGCAGTAGACCATGGCACTGGAGTTTGATTGTGCCCAAACAATGACTGCATATTTAATTGTAGATTATTTGTATATTAAGATTATGACTAACATTCCAAAATCAATGCAGCTGAACAGCTAGATGTGTTTTACACCCCTATGAAATAGGTTATCTTGAGGCATTGGACATTACAGATGTTATAGATTTCAAATTATCTGGTTTCGAGACATGTGGCCTATAACAAATGGATCCTGAATGGGACACTATGGAGGATGTGGCTTTTTCAGTCTGTCCACAGATTGTAGTCCTTTAACTCACTGCAGTAACGCTGCATTTCTGCTGAAGTCACTTGTTCACTCCACTAGTCACACTGTTTAGTAAAGGATCTTTCCTTCACCTCCCTCTCTAGCTCGCTTTCTCTTTTCACTTCACAGATGACCCTAATGTTTACCGCTGTAACTTTCTCCTCTCTGCTTCTCTCCTCTCCTCTTTATCTATAATCTAAAACACTCCCAATTTTCCCTCCATAGGTTTGTTTTAGGCCTCCTAACCTGCGCCAGAGTGTGTGTCCGTTCTCAGTTAACCCCATTAACCCCCTCTCTGGTTTAACTAACAGCGTGCAGCCTAGTTTTTACTGACCACTGACCATTTTGACTCTAACATACCACCGCCGACCCCTGACCTTTGCTCCTCTAGAGTTCCATTTGGTGTGGACGGCATTGTCCTGTGCTTCAGGACAGGCAAACCGTTAACTCTGACCTTTGCATGTTTCTTCTTATTTATTAGTCTACTTATCTTCTAGATCTTTTTCGCTGATTCTTTTAGCTAGTTGAACAGTTGTAATTCAGCTGTAAACCTCAGAACATTTATTTAAGAGAATCTTCACTTGACTATTTACATATGTAGTGCTTGTTTAAAGTGATACATGGCCAAAAATCAAGTTTACAAAATTTCTCCTCACCTCAAATCTAGTCAATCAGCCAAAACGTTTTTGGTGTCTGAAGTTTGCTTCTTTTGCACTGGAGCGATGAGGCTAACGTAGCTAATCAGTCGTGGAAGCTTGTAGCCCTAGGCTTGCATTGTGCAAACCGCATGACTAAATCATCACACTAAATAATCTTCAGTAGATTTGTTTGTGGTTCTGGACACTGCATGACATACTGTTATTAATAAAAATGGACAGAAGTATGTTGCATGGCTTAAAGCTGTAGTAACATCTTGAGGCCTGAATTGTCTGTACTTTTGTCCTTTTTTAGTGACATTTTTACAGTGTTGGAAACCATGTAAGCAAGTCTGTTTAAGAATAAGGATGTACTTTGTTAACTGTTCAAGGTGTATTTAATTCAGTATTTGAATACTGAAATCGCTGTTTCCGTTTATGGCGAAAGTATGGAGAAAGTAAGCTATTCAGTGAAATGCAAATTTGGACTGTAAATGTGGTGTTTTCACTCACATTCGCATCCCTACGTAGCCTAACTGTTGTAGCTGATGTTAGACAGATCTAGAAACAATGAAATCTTATTTCTCTAACAAAGAACATTTGAAGTTTCAGTTTTCCCCCTAGTTTCATCACCGATTTAGTTGTTTCCCTTTCCACACACTAGCTAGGTGTCCCCAGTCACACAGTAATACGAGTGCTGGGAGGGTGAAGACTAGCACATGCTTCCTTAGAGTCATCATTGAACTGCTGCTAACGGGGGTAACGCTTAGATGCCATTCAAAAACACAGAAATTTTGGTTATTTTTGAAAAATAAAACGTGCGCTGCCAAAATTTTTCCAGCACCAGCGCAGTCACCTGAAAGGTTGGTCTGTAACAGCTAGCTGTAAGCTTCTATTATTAGATACATTAGCCTTGTAGCTCCAGTGCAGAACTAAAGAAGCAAACTTCAGACCTCAAACATGTCTTGACTTACAGACTATATTCAGGCCGAGGTGATAAATGTATAAACTTGATTTTTTGCTAAATCATCACCATTCCTGGTTCTGAATGCTTCGTCGGTGTAGCGCACAGTTCAGCCTGGTGTTTTCAGTAGGTAAGTGTGGGCAGGTTTTCACTGTGAGGATTTAAGCATTTACTCGGCACTGCCAGGACCAAAAGGTGAAGCCAAATCTGTTAATTGTTTCCTGACCTGCGCTCTGTCCCTACTCTCCCCACCCTGCTCTCTTCTTCGCAGGTGATCCGCAAGGGCTGGCTGACCATCAACATCAGCATCATGAAGGGAGGATCCAAGGAGTACTGGTTCGTCCTGACCGCTGAGTCACTGTCTTGGTACAAGGATGAAGAGGTGAGCAAACCACAGACCCGAGATGGAAAGTTTGGGCAAAAATGCTAACATGGGTACATGTAGTTTAAATCTCTGACCTCACAATTCAGTTATAATACAGTTCACTACGATACATATGAACATATGCATTTTATTTTGATGAAAAACTGGATGGAATGTTATTAGTCAGTTCTAGATTTCTAAAATCAAAGCAGTTGTTTTGCCACCTTTAGGTTCCATAGTGAAAGGGAAATTCCACCAATTTTGGCTCCTTGTAGAGAAACTTACCAACTCAAAATTTTTTCAGTGATAGAAACCAGGAGTCACCATGTCTCCAACCAAAATACAGTCATTTGAGCTTTCTGTGTTGTATGGTGATGATGTAAAAATAATGGTAAACTTTAAAAAATAAAGTTTTTTGGGGGGGGGGCTCTTTGCCTTACAACACCCTGCGAGTACCTCTCCACCAGGTATGGATTTTAAAAAATATGTTTTAGGCAAAAAAAATATATACCAACACTATGATAAAATAATGTCTTGGTCATCAGGCTAAGTATTTGTATAAATTTCCAGTAATAACTTTGAATTGTAAGTAGTTTTTAAGGGCATTAAACTCTTTAGATGTCTGGTTTTCTATCACCACCACTGTGAACAGAGCATCTTTGTTTACATCTTAACCATTTAACTATGCAGAAACTTTGAAAAACAGTTGCCTTTTTTTACTTTTCGCTCTCTCTCATTCATTCGCCTTTCCATTTTTTGGGCGAACTCAGTCATTGCTATGCTCACAAGGATTAAGAGTAGACAGTGCTATCAGTGGAAGTATCACATATTCAAGTTGTACAATAATGAATTTCCACAGCATTTTCCACATATTAAAAAGCCTTTATTGTATCATGGCTATGGACAAAAAGGATAAAGACACTTCAGCATGTTTTAACATAGACTTTCATTAGGGAATGTCACTAATTGCTACACAGATTGGACTGTAAATATCCTAGAGTGCAATATGTAGGATTTTGACCTTCCGTCTATACCTGAAGCAGAAAGCTGTAGAGTCCACTCTCCATAGACGTCGAACATAATTGTGCCAGTGTGTGTGTGTCCCGGCCCAGCCTAACCAATGTGCGGACTACTGTTCAGCTACAGCATGATGAACAGGTAGTCTGAACACTGGGCAGGCGGGGGGGAGGGGTTGTAGAACGATTGGCCGGACCACAGGTCGCTGCCCTGGACAGAGAAAGGAAAGAGCAAACATTTAACTCGGCCGCACTGATAAAGCTTCCACACACACGCATATATATGCTCACTCATACATGCGCACACATATACATGTGTGTGTGTGTGCTGTAAGATAAAGCAATGGCTTTTAACAGCAGAATTGCACTCAGAATAACTTTGCTCTAAATGATGTTTGAAATCAGACTTCAGTGTCTTCACTAGAATCTGTGGGGTTTTTCCTTAAGAGTTAGCCATATAACTTGAGCCAAAAGGGAAGCCTGTCCAAAAGGAGGAGTGAAAAAAGAGACGTTCTGAGCTACAGATGACTCAAAAAAAACTGCACTTAATGAAGTTGTAATAAAGTTAATGTTTAGAGAAGTTGTGTTGGATAACACTCACTTTAGGCTTTGCGAAATCCTGCTTCATGAAGTGTACCTTAAATACGAAACTAACTTCTACACTGCAGCCTTAAAGTTTAGGGATAGTAGCTGTTGGAGTAAAAGTATCTCCAAAAATGTAGCTTTATAGGAGAAGGATGAAACGTTCTCAAATTGCAATGAAAGATTTAACAAGAAATTATTATAATTCATTTAAGACCATTTCTATTGGTGCCTTTGTCTGGAAATTTTGATTAGTGTCATTTTTAATCATGTTCAAACATCAAAATTGACAAAAATGGCTATACAGCGTTTTTCTCTGGCAGTGATAATGTGAGGGAAAAAAAGATGCAGCACAAACCACTTTTCTCAATGCAGAAAGTACAGATTTACTCAAAACACAACACTTAGTCAATTTTGCTATATGTTGCATTAAACTGAAACACATGCTGTAGGCTCACCATGTTAGTGTGTGTATATCGGTGTCTCCCAGGCCTGGACAGGGTCTTCGTTGAGACACACGACACGCCATTGGTCATCCTTTCTGTTTCGTCCAGCAAAGATGCGCACGCATTTTTCCCCTTGCCATTATTTTCGTAAAAACGCCAAGTACGATGACCTCTCCAGCGCTTCTTAATGATGAAAAGAGAGACAGAAATGGAAAGAAAGCGGGAGGACGAGTGTTGCCGTGGTAGATGGTGGAAGTGGAGTGACGTGGCAGGCTAAAATGTTCCAGCCAGGATCCGACTTTGGAATTTGCAGGAAATCGTACTGGGTTACTGGGGGGGCTGATTGGGGGGTGGTGTTGGTCGGGGGGGTGGGGGGTTTGGTGTTTGGGGGCAGGGAAGTTGTGTGTTCTTCTGAGTGATGTAACTGTTGGGACTGCTACTCTCTCTCTCTCTCTCTCTCTCTCTCTCTCTCTCTCTCTCTCTCTCTCTCTGTGCATACATAAATGTTTCCAGATGCTTCTCCTCAACAGAGAACTGGCAACCCCACTGCTCTAGTGCACACTCACACACATTCTCCCTCCAGATTGGTGGTCCGGTATTAAAGCAGCTCAGTGGCAGTAGGTTGTGTTGCCCTCGCTGCATTAAAATGTCAGACTTGACTCTGTGCTGTCTGGTCTGAGAGGTTTGACTCGTCTCTGCTGTCGTCTGTCATTAGTGATGTTTCAGTGTCGTTCAGACAGAACACTGATTCTGCGTCAGAGCGACTCTAAAGCTGCAGCTAGTTACACATTTATAACCGTTCTGTACTCTGTGTTTTTAATCTCTCTCGATCTTTTTCTCTCTCTGTTTCTCCTTTCCTCTCTCTTTTTTTCTTTCCTTTTCTTTTTCTTTCCTCTCTTTCTTGGTATCTTTCTATTTCTTTGTCTCTCTTTTCCTTTATCTCTCATTCTGTCTCATTCTCTTTTCCTTCTTTTTTATTTTTCTCATTCTCTTTCTTATCTCCTCTCTCTTTCTCTCTTATTCTCTTCTTTCTCTCACTCTTCATTGCTCTTGCTCTTTCCTCACTCTCCCTTTTTTCCTTCTTTCTCTCTCTCTCTCCTTTTGCTTTCTTTCTTGTTCTTTCTCTGTGTATTTCTTTTTCTTTCACTCTTTCCTTTGTTTTCTTTTTGCACCCCCTCTCTCTTTCTGCTCTTTCTATCTGTCTGTCTCCATCTTTATCTCTGACTCTCTCTCTCTCTGTCCCTCTCTCTCTTGCTCTCTCCCTTTCTCTGTCTCCATCTCTCATTCTCACTCTCTGTTACTCTCTCACGTTCTCTCTCTCTCTCTCTCTCTCTCTCTCTCTCTCTCTCCATCTCTCTCTCCATCTCTCTCTCTGTCTTTCTCTCTCTCTCTCTCGTAGGAGAAGGAGAAGAAGTACATGCTTCCTCTGGACAATCTGAAGTTGAGAGATGTAGAAAAAGGCTTCATGTCCACAAAACACATCTTTGCGATCTTCAACACCGAACAAAGGTCAGTTCACTCTGTTTGTCCAGGCGTGTGTGTGTGTGTGTGTGTGTGTGTATGTGTGTGTGTGTGTGTGTGTGTGTGTGTGTGTGTCTGCGAACGCCTGTGTTTATGTTCTGACCGATGTTTGTGTGTTTGCTCATGCAGGAACGTTTATAAAGACCTGCGTCAGATCGAGCTGGCGTGTGACTCTCAGGAGGACGTGGACAGCTGGAAGGCCTCGTTCCTGCGAGCGGGAGTTTACCCTGAGAAAGATCAGGTACTGCTACTACACAGGAAGCAGCTCTCTATTCACAAACTATTACCATGACTACACTGATATACTGCAGCCTTTGAACTGAATTTGTCTTTGTTTAATGGACAAACACTTCCATTCAGGAGTCTGGAATCGATGTTTGCAATAATGTAAAACCAGTTTGCTTGAAGATACATGAATACAGTGGTTGTAATTTTCCAGCCCTGTCCAAAGATAAGTTTCAAATGACTAGTATCAAAGCTACTAGTTTAAAAAACTATGGAAACAAAAAATTGTTAGAAATGTTCCAGAATAATGAACAGAGCTGTAGAAGATTCTAAAATGACTGAAGAAACAATAAAGCTGTATAAATGCTTTTACAGACTACACTCTCAGGAAAAGTTACTAAATCACGTTACTGGGGGGGTACCCCTCACGTTACTGGGGTACATCTTCAGTACCTTTAGTCAGGGAACATAATTGGACCATATGCCATTGCAATTATATTCACTCTACTAATTCCCATTGTTTTTTTTTTGTTGTTGACATGGTGTCCCTGTGTGATGTCACAAAAACAAATGCATTTTCCTGCTACCGCCTTTGCAGTCTACACCAGTGGCCTAGCCCTGGGACATGGGCTCTTTAACACTGAAATTGAAGATATAAAACAGGAAAATCCATAAACATATTCTCAAGACAGATTAAGAGCAGAACGTGACAAAGTAAATAAATTAATTTGTTTTTTATCATTTAACGTCTTCCCAAAAGACCTGAGTAATGTATTTATTAAGTAAAATTAAGTATATATTAAGTGAAATATCTAACAAGATATATTGTCTGTAGTTTGTAATATGTTAATATGCATTGACAGTTGTTATTGTGTATAGAATAACAAATTATTATTGACTGGTAGTGTCATTGTAAAGTTAGTCTTGGACAATGTTCTTGTTCCTGGTAATTTCTCACTGAAAATCTGCTGGTGAATCAAGATGCTGTACTATGGTGCCCCCTGGAGGACAGCACAGGTCACGTCTAAAGAGCAAAGGTCTCAACTGGAAAACTATGAAAACAGTCCTATTAAAAGTGCTTGTACAGTATTAGACTGGTGACAAATTAAATGTATACAGTATTTCCCATTGCCCTGAATGCCTCAGCCAAGACATGGTACTTTCTTACTTTTGCACTCCTGCTACAAGGCTAATGTAGCTAACAAACAGTGGAAGCTTCTTAACATGCCTCTGTGTGTGTAGCCGGAGGCAGAGGATGCTGCTCCAACAGACACCTTCTCCATGGACCCTCAACTGGAGAGACAGGTGGAGACGATCCGGAACCTGGTGGACTCTTACATCGGCATTGTCAACAAGTCCATCAGAGACCTAATGCCCAAAACCATCATGCATCTAATGATCAACAGTGTAAGTGGGCAGCTGTCATCTTCGTGTGCCCGTGTGTGTATGTGTTTATATTTCTGCGTGCCTGCCTGCGTGCGGGTCCGTGCATGTGTGTTCGAGTGCATGCGTGTCTATGTATACATACAGGTTTCTAAATGAGTGGATGCGGCACATGTGTGTATGTGTGCGTGTGTATGTGCAGGTATCTGAAAGTGTGGGTGTGTGTATGTGTTGAGAAAAAGAATTGATAGAGAAGTAGATAAGGCCTACTTTCATTTTAAACAGCATGTCAAATAATGTAAAATAATACCGAGTCATGTTTTATTATCTTTTATTGTTAGTGACCACTGTTGTTAAAGCAATGGATGCCTTACAGAGCATTCATGAGCCATTAGGACACTGCTGAGTAAATTTCCCATTGTCTCTGCATGTGTATTTGAGAAGTGTGTGTGATCAGATTACATGAACTGTTTCAGGCATGATGTTGATGTCAGCTTGCTGTAAGTGGCTGGGTTTTGGTTTGACTGAGTGGGCTTTCAGAATGACACAAGCATGGAAAAATGCAATCTTAACTTTCCAAATCTCTACCTTCTCCGGGCACACTAAACAAATGTAAATATTCATCTGGGTCTTCTGGTTTTTATTGTGGTGTTTCTGAGAGAGGTCAGGGGCTTGGTTTCCCAAAAGCTCTGCACCATCTCAGTGATCTTAGTACAGAGAAACCGAAACCAGTTCCAGTATAAGTATCAACCTGATTCTTAACAGCACTGTTGGTATTGGTGATACAAGTATCGGTACAATAATTTCATTTTGTGAGACTTTATCTTGTGAAATGGAATAGATCGTGACTGAGCACAGTCATTTAAGATGGATAAAAATTGTAAATGGAACATCTGGGCTTGTATACGACTGTCCTATGATTAAAACAGAAAAATGTTTAGGCTGAGTTCAGTAAACGGTATAAATGTGCACTCAAAGTTGCAGAAGCCATCTCATCTCACTCCTCACTTCTTCCCCTCATTGTCCCTCCTACTCTTTTGTCTTCCATGCAGACTAAGGACTTCATCCACTCTGAGCTGCTGGCCTATCTGTACTCATCAGGTGACCAGAACAGCCTAATGGAGGAGTCTGCTGACCAGGCTCAGAGGAGGGACGAGATGCTGCGTATGTACCATGCCCTCAAGGAGGCACTCAGCATCATCGGTGACATCAGCACCTCCACTGTCTCCGTGCCTGTCCCACCACCCGTCAATGACAGCTGGATCCCTGAGGCCAGGTCAGCCAGGGGGGCAGTTTTTCTGGCCAGACCAATTGTTTGGTTTCTCCTTAATTCAAATATACATGATCAGCCAAGGTCTATAAAGTTTGCTTCTCTTGTTTTGCGCTGGAACTATGAGGCTAATGTAGTTAACAAGTAATGAAAACGTATAGCCCACCGATTCTAAATCAAGAATCACTCAATTAAGCAATGTGTTCTCAAGTATACTTGAGATTGTGATTTCTGACACTATATACATAAAAATGGACAGACAAAATTCAGAATGGCTGCCCAACTGTTTTTAGCTATGCAACATACTGATGTCCATTTTTTTCCGATAACAGTAATTTCTATGGATGAGGTTTGAAAACCAGGGTGAAAAAAGAACACCTTTTTAAAAAGATGAGGACACTTACACTGAGGCCTTGTTCTTTTCTCTGTCTTTTACAGCCCCACCCCTCAACGCCGGCCGGCTACTGCAGCCCCGCCCCCCAGCAGGCCTCCAGCAGTTAGAGGCCCCACCCCAGGACCTCCACCTCTCAACCCATCCCCTGCTTTCGGGGCCCCACCCATCCCCTCACGCCCAGGGCAGCCCCTCAATGCCTTCAGTAACAGCAGCCAAGACCCTTTCAGTGCTCCCCCTCAGATCCCCTCTCGTCCGGCCCGTGTGCCCCCAGGGGTGCCCAGGTAAGAAGACCCATGTCTGCGAAGCCTCCATATTCACAAAGCACCTCAGAGCAGGACTTGTAGTCCTCCTGTCTGTGGTTTACATCAGCTCTCAGTTACTTGGATGATTTGCGAAAAAGATGCAACGTAAGGGATTGTTCGTAGAAATTACCCAATCTAAACCAGGGTACTCTGTCATACATTTGGAACACTGCACATTTTTTGTTTTCTCTGCTGCCTAGGAGGGTCTTTCTCTCTTAAAAGATTCTGAATCAGTTTTATAAGCTCTGCAATTCCCCTATTGTAAAATAAACGCACACAGTAAGATTTTACTAAAGAATTAACTGCAAAACTACTATAAATTATTCAGTAACTACTATGAAACTGGTGTTGTTACTCTCGTCAAAACATTTTAACTATAAACATTGTTAAATAAAATGCACATTATTTATAAATGTGAATATTTAATGACAAATATATTCTACAACAAATTTACTTAATTTAATTTACTTCAACATGCATTCATTTTTCCCCCTTTTTATATAAAGTTACGATTTTGCAGATATGTTTATGCTACGACAGCAGCATAAACAAATTCAGTATAGCTAGCTCCATAATTATTGGCACGCTTGGGAAAGGTGAGGTAATTAAACACGTTTAGTCTAAGAAAACAAAAAATCTTAGAAAATACCTCAATTTAAAAAAAACACACTCATGCTGACAGTAGTGACGAGTGAGAAATTGAAGTGAGGGTCTTTAGGGTTTAAAGCAGAGTTCCACTAAATTTTAAAATTCTGTGTATTTTAATCCTTGAGTCATGTGGTCAGTGGTTTAGTGTGAGATTGCAGAGAAACTTGCTGAGAAATTTACTTTTACAGTGGTGGTAATAGGAACCAGAGGTCACAATGTCTACAACACAAATATCGCCATTTTATGTAACGTCCAGAGCCACTGAACCTACATGTGTCTTTTAATTTTTTTTACATGTATTGTTGATCATGTTAAAATAGTGGTAAATCTGAAGTAAGTTTCCTTTTGACTTGAAGACTTTTTATTTACATCTTAACAATTAATTTATTTAGAAATTGTGAAAAATCTGTTCTTTTGGTCACACTCTGCTTTAATAGAGTTCATTGTGCATTTGCTACTTTGCCTAGAGGCGTGTAGGAGCTCATTAAACGCTGCTGGTGTTCATCCTTGACATGAGAGACTGATGCAGACACAGCCTTTCTGACTGAGGTGCTTTGTGAAAGTTCTGTCCGGCCCGTCTCTGAACTCTGTGACCTCACTGCAGAATTTACTGATGCTCCTGTCAGTAATCTCACTGTTTCGCTCTTCCTGTGCTGCGAGGACACTGGCGTGTGCGTGAATGTTTGCATTTGTATCTGTGCGTGTGGTGATGTTCACACTAAACTCTGGACGCTGTCTTCAGTTTCAGTTTTCTCTCAGCACATCTTCACTAACGTCACGGCAACGTCATCCCTCTCTCTTTCTACCTCTCTGTCACGCCAGACCTCTGTCTTTACCTCTGTACCTCTTTCTCCCTATCTGTTTCCTCTCTACCACTCGCTCTCTGCTACGTCTGTCTTCATGTCTCTGTTTCCTCTTTGTCACCTTTGCCTCTGTCTGTCTCTGTTACTCTCTCTGCTATGTCTGTCTTTACCTCTGTCTGCTTCCTCTCCGTCACTTCTACCTTGCTGTCTCTGTCTATCTCTACCTCTCTCTCCCTATGACTGTCTACACATCTTTCCTCTCTCTCTCTCTCCCTCCAGTTCAGAATAGCTTTATTAGCTTCATCAGCATGACTGTCAGGTACAATATTGCCAAAGCATTACAACAGTAGAAATAATGCAACAATGACAGCGACAATAACAACTAGAACTGTAGAAAACAATAACAGTATTAATGACCATCATTATATTATTATTATTATTATTATTATTATTATTATTATTATTATTATCATTATACTTATAGTAATTAGCAAGCTGATATGTTGTAACTGATATATTTGTAATTTGTAAGGTCAGTAAGGTTGGAATGTGTAAGGTGTTACCCACTGTCTCTCAGGCAGTGACATGTAGTTTCCGTATTTAGCAGCGGGGGGGCTGTGTGCCCCTCGCCAAGAATGGTTTCTAATTTTTCAGTGTAGTTTTTCCAAATTTTGCAAATAATTGTTAAAATTGTGAATTTTTCACAGTGAAGATGAAAGTGCATCTCTGACTTGACCTCACCTGCCTCATGTTTTCATTCATCCTCTTTCACTTCTCTGCATTGTGTCTCTCTCTCTCTCTGAAGTAAACATCTAGCTCTCGCCCACTCGCACTTTCTCTCTCGTGTTGCTCGTGCTGTCACGCTTCTCTCACTCTCTCTTTCTCCCTCCATCGTTTCTCCCCCCTCTCCTCCTCACTCTCTCTTTCTCCCTCTTACTTTCTCACGTTTTCTCTCGCTTTCTCAGGTTCTCTCTCTCTCTCTCTTTTTCTCTCTCTCTCTCTCTCTCTCTCTCTATCTATCTCTCTCTCTATCTCACTCGTCTCTTGCTCTTCTCTCCCTGCAGCCGAAGACCCCCTGGCGCCCCCCACCGGCCCACCATAATCCGCCCCGCCGAGCCTTCCCTTCTAGACTAGGAGACTAGGCCAGTGCTCTACACACAGCTGCAAATCGGGGCCAACGTCTAAAAAGAGAGATAGAGAGAATAAGAGAACTAGAGAGAGAGAGAGAGAGAGAGAGAGAGATATGGGGCTGCAGGGCTCTGCGGATAATGCGAATATACATCCAGCCTGACCAACAGACCTGTCTATTTCACTCACTGTCGTCTGATGAACGCTGCTAATTTCCTCCTTTAGATCTTTTTAAAGTCCTGGGGACTAAACGCAGGCTCCAGATGCAGACCTATTTAGATGTCGTGGTTTGTTGAATCATTTTTTTTGTTTGTTTTATTTAATTTTTTTGGGTTGAGCTGAGGTGGTGTGCTTGGCTTCCTGACTGTTATTTCAGCTGTTTACACAGTTGTCCACCAGGGGGCACCGTGATATACCTGTGTAGATAAAACCCCCGTTTGCCCTGGTTTTGCTCCGAGTGGGGTACTTTCATCTTCTCCGAATGGTGGAATAATTTTTTATAAAAGGCTGTTTCCGGCTATTTGTGGTCGAACTAGCCAGTCCTTTCTACTCTCCATCTGTAGGCATCTCTTGATGTGTAATTTACTCTCTAACATATTTTGGGGGGCTGTTTTCTTGACTAACTGATATCATGCTGAAAACAAGATACCATTGTTATCATTATTGTTCTCGTTATGGAATTTTTGTTTTGGTGTTCATTTGTTCACTTGAGGGTTTCTTTTTAATAAACGTGTACATAGCTTATCAGACACCCACTTCAACTCTTCAGTTAAATCAGATGCGAGATCAGACGCAAACTAGGCACTTGGTCATGAGTGAGTGACCAACCAGGCACCGGCTTAAAATTCCTTCCAGATTGACCATCACCCTCTTCCATGACCGCAAACTGTAAATACACATTGTTAACAGTTAGCAGGGATACACACTAGATAATTCATCACATGCAGACTGATTGGAATGGTGTGCCTGTGAATCTCAACCGTTGAAGAGCACTTAGATTTTAGGTGTAGGGGAAGGTTTGGTGGAGCTGGTGTGTGTATGCATTTTTGTTTATACGTAATAATCTGTGTATATGAAAATAATCCTGGAAGCACAATAACCACTCGCGATTTTGGGGGGGGTGGGGTTGGGAAGCTACTCTGCCTTGTTTAAGATAGCGTCTCAGGTGACAGCCATGTTTTAGCGTCCCCGTTCGTTAACATAGTTTTAGTTAGCTCAGTTCTTTTAGGGTTCGTGTAATTTAAGTTAATCTCTCGAGGCCTTATGATTGCCTTTGTTTCACGTTCAGGGAAGGACAGAGTGTCATTGGGGTGGAGGGAACTACTGAGCACGAGCAACCTGAAGAGCACTGGAGTGGGGCAGTTTGACCGTATAATGCTAATGTGGCTGGCAGTGACTAATGAGGGCTGGGTATTGTTAAAATGACTAATATTACTTCAGTACTTTTAACGTATGCACCAATATAGGGAATTTGCACTGCAAACAGTAAAATGAATAAAATGCAGATATTTGAGCACAGAAGCCCAACATCACCTAAATGTTCTGGTCTTTGGAGTATAGTAAATACATCATCAGATATCAGTTTGAAATATCACTCAAATTTAATCATCTGTCCAATGCTGATAATTGTTTTACAGCAAAAATGCCAATACGCTTCTGATATCATTGTGCATTCTTAACCTATTTGATTCCTAAACGGTACTTTCTTTTAATTTACAAACCAAAAGTGGGTGTGGCTTAAACCAGAAACGAGTATTGCTGGAACAGGGTGTATGTACAGACCCCAGCAGACTGCGGACCAATCAAAAAGCACTTGTGCCCCCCTGCTTTCGGAAAGTAATTTAAACAGCCAATCGGCGGACTAGATTTGTGAACAAGCATGCCTATTGGCTCACAGATGCTAAGACTAATTACGATGTTGAAATTGAGCATTCATTAACATTTTTTATACTCTGCATTTGGTCGGTACTGTAAAGGTATTGCATTTTGATACCCAGCCCTACTGGTGATGCTGACGTTGCTAACTGTGACTGAAAGCCAGTTAAAATACGTGTCGGCTTTTATCCACTGCAAGCCACATTTGAAATGTCTAGAGGGGGTGTTTGACCATCCAATGCTAAAGTATCTTCCTGTGAAAGAAAGCTAGCAGTTGTTAGCGCAAGATCAGGTGGGCCTGACTGCTTTCATGCATTGTGAGCCACTTCAGCACCCCTGAAGACATACTTGTCTCCAGAAGATTTAAAGACGATATGAAAATATAGGAACAGGGTCACAAAACTCGGGCACATGCAGGTGTGTAGGGATCGCGATGCGTTTTTAACAGAAAGGTGAAAAGCACTGATCGGGTTTGCAAATACAAAGACACTGAAGTAGAGAAGGGCAGGAGGAGTAATAACCAAACAGGCGAGGTTTTAACGTAGCTGTGGTTTGTACTAATAGACGCACTAACAGGGCTGCTGGAAGGGACAGCTTAGGGAATAGACATGCAGAGCTTGGATCTTTTTGAGTGTATTATTTATAACCCGGGCATTTGTCATTGATGTTTTGATTTCCAGTTTCACAAGCAATGTTTCTTTCTCCCATGTGCATTCAGAGTAAGCGTTATTTGGACGGGATTCGTTTTTGAGTGGTAATGTAATTTTACCAGCCACGGTACGGAGGCACTCGAAGTGTTCTCTGTGGTTGAAATCAAGCTAATATGCATTGCCCTCCCTGAAGTGCACCACTCCAAGCATTAAATGATGCAACATGATGAAAAAAGTTAGATTTTTTGCACCAATGTTGACTGTTGGCTGTAAATTTCCAAATGATGATGCCAGTGTCACTTTAGACAGGTAAGGAGATGGTTTGGGTAAAGATAATAATGGCTAGTTTTTTTGGAATGAAGGCAGTGCATAAATCATGTAGCCACTCCCAAACCTGTCATCCTGTGTGCATCAGTCATAAACATTACAGACGTTCTGTGGTAAAATTGCATTAAGCCACCTTCCCATATAAAACAAATCCCGTCTGAATAGTGCTGTAGGCAGAAATCTCTTCACTTTGTGGGGCAGCTTGTAGACCCTTCTGTTATTTCCCACTGTGCCCAGCCATAGTGAAACTCACCCATGGATGAACTGTGGGGTGAATGATGATCTGGTTCCTGTGGGTTTTCTATTGTTTCTGATCTAATTGCAGAATGAGGGATTTGGTGTCAGGTTTTATCTGAGAAATTAAAAGGGTGGTGATGATGTTCCTTTTGTTTTCACTTTGGACTGATTATGACTTGTGTGGAGATGGTGGGGGGGCAAGGGAAGGAACATGTTCTGTCCAGAGAATCACATTGATGTTATGGACCCCAGAGTGAAGTAAGAGTTCATTCAGACTAACTAATAGCTCTGAATGCTGTAGATTCTCTGGGCAGAATTGATTGTACTACCCCGACTCCCCTTTTTAACTTAATACATGGTGTGGCTACAATGAAGGAGGCTGTTATGTTTTAAGGTTTTTTTTCTCCACAGAATTTTATATACAAATTGTTTTATTGGGAAATATCATGCATATCTGTCCAACTGGAAACTTGAATGAGTACCAGGCTCTCATTGTCATTGTAGCCATGCTTCTGTGATTTGTCATTTCTTTTTGGTGACCCAACCCCCCATCCCCACCCTGCCCCCCTCTTCCCCTGCTCTCCACACCTCTCATCTCTTGGGTTCGGGGTGGGGGAACCAGTTGACCACCTGTGTAGTCATTCATCTATTTGTATTGCTTTTTTGGTTTTGTTTTTGAAATCCTAAATCCTTGTCAAGTGCCTCTATAGGTATTAATGCACTCTGAGCTGAAAAGAAATGGTGAGAATTGGAAAATGAGCTAATAAAGAGGTTTTGTGTACCATAAAAGGGACTGTCTGTGGTGATTGGTGTTTCCTTATGTGCTGTTTTCTTCTCCTCTCCTCTTCATCTCCTGCTATGTTTTTTCTCTCCTGCATGCTGCTGTTCTTCCTCTTTCAGTAACGTCACAGTGACCACAAAACCACAAAAAAGGGGACAGATATTACACCTAAGACATGACCTTTCGTAAATCGGAATTGTCTGCCAGCAAGACAATCAGGTACAACTTGGATTTCTTCTGAAATTGACGCTGTTTTTAATAGATTTCTGTGGACTGGCTGTGAACTCAAATGATGGGCAGTCACAGTGAATGACTACAGTGTGATGGAGTTCGATCCCCGTTGATGCTGCAGTCATCTGTGGTTGTGTTTACATGCAAAGCCTTTGCCAATCCGACTGAATACATTCTGATTATGGATCAAGACTGAGGTGTATATATCGCACTCAACAATCTGATGGAAATCTCCGTTTACATGCACGTTAAATGTAATCAGATCCAAAATTACACGCATGCATAGAGCACCACTTAGTGTAAACGTTACCATGACAACGAGCATCACATGCGGTCCAGTCAGAGTGAGACGAGTTTTCAGTTGGCACGCTTGTGTTTTTAATTCCTTTAAAATCATGGCAGAAAATGTACTTCACATGTATTAAAGAAGGCCGAGAGGAAGACGTCGTGGTCTGGAACACATAAGCTCCCACTGCCGACTTTTAAAGATCAGAGCATAAACTTCGTCTCCTCTGCAGGTTTCTGCTCCCACCATGAACGTTATAAACTTTCGCTACGACGCGACGCACATGCGCAGAACGTACTTAAACTTTCCGATTGGGAATGTAATCAGATACAGGCGTTTACATGGCTATTATTCTTCTATTTAACAGATTATTTGCAGGATTACCCACCTCGTTCAGTTGGATAGAAATTGTATTCCAAATGGCCTCAATCGGACTAGACTATTCCAAATGAGGTGTACACATGGACATATTCTATTCTGATTGAGCTATTAGTCAGATTATTAACAGATTATTAGGCTGCATGTAAACGTGACCAGGAGTCCAAGAGAGCACAATTGGCCTCGGTCTCTGGATGGGTAAGATGGCCCCCCCCACCCCATCACTCGGTGCGATGCTAGTCAGTGCAAGCATCTGTTAGCTGACGTAACAGAACTGGTGGTTAGCGTTCTCTTCCAAGCACAAACAGCTGTCCAGTGACCTATCATGTGATTTGGGGAGTCCTAACTAGTGAGTAGAATTGGACATGGCCAAATTGGGGAGAAAAATGGAGAAAATGCCAAAGATCTTAAAAGAACGTTGAAGGGTCAGGCCAGATCAGGTTTTCTGACATGCCTCATGATTTACTGTTATTTCTGAAAATGGATAGATTTTAGGTTTCAACATGACTGCAGCTAAGGTGGTGTAAGGCTAGGGTGATGATTCACGTATGCGGTTTGCACACTGGTAATCTGTGGGCTATTTTTTGCGCAACGGTCCGCTTCAATGTGAATTAAGTTAACTGAAGGGAAAATTAGCGTAGGTGAATCGAGTCTATTAAATAAGAAAAACCCTAAATGTTACAATGCTGACACCTTCTCGGACTGGGTTTCCCCACTGATGTAGTTTGGAAGCTTTTACTGGTGTTGATGTATCCATGTTTTGGTGACACTGTTTATCTTTTAGATTATTTATAGAGCGTTCGTAGGTTGGTGGCTGGGGGGGGGATTCCGTCCAGCTCTTATGGACTCCTGATCCAAACCCACTCACCTAGGATCTGGCATGACATGTCAAGAATTTCCATTGAAAAGGCTAAACAAAAGCTTCAGTTTAATTCATGCAACCATCCCAATTTTCTCCAAATATTTTGGAGACGTTCTAAATCTGAATATTGAGTTTGCTTAAAGAACGACTGAGCTCAGCTGATACATTAAATACAGTATGAAATACACTAAGAATAATATTTCATTTTAAATCAGCTGGTTTCAGGTTCAATTCCCATGACAGCTGGTGGGTGTACTTTTTATATGCCATAGTATGGAATTTAGTCAGTTTTCAAGGTTATTTTTGCAGAATTATGGATTTTTGCATAGTACTGTGCAAAAGTCAGAGACCATCTTTCATTTACTTAATGTCCAGTCAAACGGCCATTAAGTACATCATTCATTTTTCAGTGCTGGAAACAGCAGAATATTAAACAGGAAATTACACAGAAGCCTCAGCAACTAAATATATTTTTTCAGTATTTACTGTGTTCATGCTTTATTACATTTCCCTTCATTTTGGGAGACTTGCTCTCAGTTTTTCTAAGAAATCTGCAGTGATATTTTTTCCACACCTCCAAAGTTCAGTCTTTAAAGTTGGTTGCTTTTTATGCTTCTCACAATCCAAGTAATCCCAAACACATTCAGTGATAGAGGTCTTAGAGGTCTCCTGTTTTTTCCACTTAATTTCCTTTCCCTTCCTCATGCAAGTAGCTTATCTTATATCTAATCTCCTCAGAAATATCTCCTCAAATAGCTGCATAACGCTGACTTTCAGACTCACCAGCCAGTACAAGGTACTCCAATAAAATACAGTAAAGACACCCGAGGCTCTTCAAAAACATGTTCAATACATAAGCATGTGTGTCTGTTTGCAATATTAAAGAATAAACAAGTTTATTTTTATGGAAAACCTCTCAAGTGAATACTTACAAGATCAAAACTCCCTTAGCAGCTGCACAGTTGTATGCAAAAGTGGGCGTCCCTTGTAAAATGACAGGCTTTGTTGGTTTTCCAAGTGAAAATAAGTTCATACATCCTCTACAGAGAACACGTTTCTGCACGTTTTCATTCACAATTACTGTTTATTTAATTTAACCCCTTAAATGGCCAGGACCCAACAGCAGGCACAAAGTTGTATAATACACTTCTGTAACCGAAGAACAGCTCAGTAGTTTGTAGTTACTGAATAATAAGCCTTGTTATGTAATAAGCCTGGGAGTTTCAGGGGTTAACATATTGGAAAAAAAAACAAAAAGGTTTTGCACATTTAATGGTTTATTTTCCCTTACAGAAAAATCACATATGAAGAGTGCAAAAACCACATGTTTACGAGTTCTCACACGTTTTTTCCCCCACGTGGTAACATTTGTAATGTGTGACAAGTGCGAAAACCACACGCATTTTCGTGTGACATGTATGTGTTTTTTCTGGAAGTGTTTTTTCTTTTTTTCCTCCAATTCTTAAATTCAGCAAAAAATTGGAAATGGGCTCCAATATTTACCATATTTATGTTAGATGATTTGTTAACAAAGCATCATAAGTATTCAAACTTGTGCATTTAACTGTGCTGGCAGTTTATCCAGGCATTCCTGACTGAAAAACTGAATTTTAGTCATTATTGCCACTATTTACGCGTGCAGTTATTTTCCTTAAAACTTTAATAAGCTGACCAAGCAAATACATACTTAATAGCAAAGTGTTCCCAAAATTATGATCGGCAGTCTGTGTGTTTTTCAAGGGGAATTCCATCAATTTTTGAAAATTTCTACATTAAGAAGTAAACAAAGTCAAACAGATACTACCGAGTCAGGATTGTTCACAGTGGTGGTGATGGGAACCAGACGTCTGAAGAGTTTAATGCCTCTTAAAGCTCCTCACAGACAGTTACTACATGAAATAGTTACGAAAACGCTGACTGAACTCGGAGACACTGTTTTACAGTAATTTTAGATCAGGTTTTGGCCTAAAGCATAATTTTTAAACCCGATTCACGACAGGAGAGGTACAAACATTGCTTAAAGGCAAAATTGTCCCCAAAGAAAACGCAGAAAACACGTGTCGGTTCACTGGTTGTTGTCAACAGTGATTAAAACGGCTTTGCGCTCAATGTGACCACTGAACCACAAATCTGAGTCAGTTCATTTTTTACAGTGAACATCTCAGAAGTTAAACTGCAGACAATTTGAAAAATTTGTGGAATTCCCCTTTAAATTTCATAACCACAAAGCTGTTATCAGGCCATCTGACATGTATCATATGTGTGAATCTGAGGGTGGCGTTCTCATGTTCTCATCTTTTTCTGACGTTTTTGGTTTCGGTTGTTCTTGAACAGACGTCCAGCTCCTCGGCGGAACCAGTGGTGACCCTGCTGCGCAGAGAACAGCCTGAACCTCACTCCTGCAGTGGATAATGGGATGCGATTCCTGCTTAAACAAAGTCAAAATCCATAAAAACTCGAAGCCTGTTTGCATTCAAATCTATACGAGTCAGTCTCACAATGTAGTGACCTTAGCATAAAGTTTTACAGGTACTATTACCAAAAGGAGCCTAAGGTCCTGGCTGAGAACCTGTGTGCTAGATTTGTTCTGGGAGTTTAAGACGGAACTCTCTCCAGTTTTTTTCATGAGTTACTGATATTGATTGCATTAGTCACCTGGCAACTTAACGTCACTATAAAGAAAGACGATAAGTTATAGTGACAAAAGGTAAATATGTTCTCCTCCTAAAAGGGACCAAATCCATCTGTATGAATACACCTTCCAAAACATCCCATACTGCTTTTTACATACAGTGCTGTTTATTTTATTTACGGTCAAAATGGCCAGTAAGTACAGGTTATTTGTTTTTTCAGAATTAGGTAAAAGCAGAGAACATACATGTGACAGAAAATTACACTGAAATAACAACTAAGTATGAATTTTTTTCAGTATTTAATTTCATTACAGCATCATTTCTTAAGGAGACTTGTTTTTCACGATCCAAGCAATCCCAAACATATTCAATGTTGAGATCTGGACTCAGGGATGGTCAGTCTGTTTGATTCCTCTCCTATTATATATCTCACTGTTGTCAGAAGAAAACCTTGTATCTCCATAATTGTAACTTTACAGGAGAAGGAAAAAACATACTTTACTTTTAATGTAATGAAGCCAGACTTTTTCCAAGTAATTTTGGGCAACTTCTTTTGGTCCATTCATCATGAAATTTACATACAATGTAAAGGACAACAGGTCTTTTCAAATTATGTCAAAAA